ATCTGGAAGCTCATGGTGAGGAGATGTCCTATCGACCTACGTCAGATGAGGGCGAAGATCTGGAGATGGGTGAGCCGGAGGAGGATGAACGGCAGGGCGAAGGAGACGGTGATCAGTTAGAGCCGCCGCCTGATCCAGGACCCAGTCAACCAGAACCACCATCGGTGCCACCTCCAAAGACTCCAGAGGAAGTTGAAGAGCACCAGAAGGTCTACAAGATGATCACAATGTCCATTTGCCTACCACTGACCTCGAAAAGCGCGGCAGAAGTCCTTGCTGGAACGCAGGAACTATTTGGAATGCTGAGACGCCACGGCTACCCTGTGGCTAGAATCCATACCGATGCAGGCCGGGAGTTCGACAACAACCCGTTCAAGAGGTGGTGCTTGGAGAGGGGGCTGGCTAGAACCTTCAGTCCTCCGGATGAACACCAATCAAACGGTCGTGCTGAGGCCATGATTGCGTCGATCAAGCAAAGGGTCCGTCGACTTCTACATGCTTCGGGCATGCCCACGAAGTGGTGGCCGGCAGCGGCTAGACATGTGACGGAGCTGGAAAGAAGGAGAAGAGAGAACATCAAAGAGACTCTACCACGCTTTGGGCAGCTCATCACAGTGAGAAAGCGAGCCTGGGAGCGAGGAGGACCTTTCGAAGCGACATCCGAGACGGTGACTTACCTGACTCCTACCCCACAGGTGTCAAAAGGGCATGCAGTTCTCACGGACAGGGAGAAGGTCAAGGTGGTGAGCTACTTGATAAAGGATGTCAAAGAGCCTAAGCCTGACGAACGAGACTTGGTCATGGAGGAGGTCCATATCCAAGATGATCCTGTACGGCTTCGCTGGAGGTTGAGAGAAAAGACACCACTGGCATGCATACAGGGAGAAGAGGACCTACAGAGGGAGGAGGATCGTCGAATGCTCTTCCAAGCCATCTATGAGGAGGAGGGTCACCTGTTGGGATCTGCTCCTAGGGAGGTTCCTCCGTTGAGTCGAGGCCTGGTTGCACTACGGCAAGAACAGGTGGCATCGACCCAACGACTTTTGGAAGACGAGATTCTCCAAACCCGGATCGTGCCCAACGATGAGGTGTACAAAGACCGGGAGCTGTGGCTGGAGGCCATTATGAAGGAGATCCAGTCCTTGGAGGGCAAGAAGGCGATTCGGCGACTGACTCCCGCAGAAGTGGCCTACTACCAGAGGGAACATGGAGACAAGGTGGAGGTGGTCCCGGGAAAGGCTATACATGCCGTCAAGGCCCCTGATGGACGTAGGAAGTGTCGCCTGGTGGTGTGCGGAAACTACCTGAAGGGAGCTGGAAGAGGGCCTGGAGATCGGTCGGAGGCAGCTCAACTCTACGCAGGTGGAGCGGACACTACATGCTTGAGGACCTCTTTGGCACTGGCTGCTACGCGGGGCTGGCAGGCAGCTAGCCTGGACATAAAGACTGCTTTCTTGAACGCACCTCTACGAACACTTCAGGAGAGCAGCCGGAAAAAGAACCTCGCCTTGGAAGATGCTCATGGACGACCTCAAGAGGATCAAGAAGAAGATGGAGGAGGTCACGAAGGTCAAGAAGGGGTAACCACGGAAGAGCAGCAGGAGGAGGACCTCACGAAGAGGAAACGACTGGTGCTCATGCTTCCTCCGAAGATCCTCATTCGGCTGGGATTAGTGAAGGAAGGGGAAATGTGGTTGGTGGAGAAGGCCCTGTATGGCTTGCGTGAGTCTCCGAAGCTTTGGGGGGACTACAGGGACATCGAGATCAGCCAGATGTCCTTTCAGGCGAACTCCGTCACCTATGAGTACCAACAGAGCTTCGCGGAGGAGAACTTGTGGTTGGTGCGCCGGAAAGATGCCGGAGATGGAGACCAGGTTGAGGGACTCGCCTTGGTGTACGTGGATGATGTGATGCTCTTCGGCACCGAAGAGATTGTGAGGGCAGGGCTCCAGAGCTTTCGAAGGACCTGGGAGACGTCCGAACCTACGTGGGTGGGAGATCGTGAACCAGTTCGGTACTGTGGAATGGAGTTGAGCCGAACTGAACAAGGAGACTTCTTTGCCAATCAATGTTCCTACTTGAGGGAAGTGGTTCGGCGACATGGCATGGAGGACCTTTGCAGCGCTCAGATGATGAAGGAATCCCAGGAACCCGAGGATGAGCTGGATCGCACGCCTTTGCAGGTCCGAGAGGCACAACAACTCGGAGGAGAACTTTTGTGGCTAGCAACGAAGACAAGGCCGGACATTGCCTACACGGTCAGCCGAATCTGCTCAGCGACGAGCCGGGCTCCAAAATGGGCGATCCAAACTGCATACCAGCTGATCAGGCACTTGAATGCCACGCAGGGCCTGGGCTTGTGGTACCGAAGAGACGCCAACTTCATCCTGGAGTCAGTGAGTGATGCCTCCTTCGCTCCAGGAGGTGCTCATAGCCATGGCTGTGTGATCACGACGGTGGCCGGAGCACCGGTGGCATGGAAGAGCTGCAAGCAGCCGTTCCCCGCCCTTTCAACTGCGGAAGCCGAACTCATAGAAGTCATCGAAGCTGTAGTTGTGGGGGACAGCATCGCATGTCTGGTTGATGAAATGGCGAAGGACGTCCCGAAGTTCCTCAAGTGTGACAACACTGCTGCAGTCTCAATAGCGAGTTGTGCAACTGGAGCGTGGCGTACAAGACACTTGAAGGTCCGGGCCGCCCACCTCAAATGGAGAATCCAATCTGGTCAATGGGAGCTGAAGTACCAACCTGGAAGGGAGCTCATCGCGGATATCGGCACCAAGTCTTTGCCAGTGGCCCGGGTCAACGAGCTGAGGCAACGGATGGGAATGTCATGGCAGCCCGACTCAGTGGACGAAGTACATGAGGAGGACAAGGGCATTGTCGCACCGAGGGCTATGAAGTTGGTCGCGAAGTACCACTTGGAGAAGGCCATGAGGCTTGTTGTGGTGCTGTCGGCATTGAAAGAGGTGCATGGAGCCATGGCGGAGAATGTCACCAAGAATGCCGATGAGAATGTCGAGGGTGACCAGATCTTGTACCTCCTCAGCGTCATGATGATGTTGCTGGGAATGGTGCTCATGAAGGTCATTCAAAAATGCCGCTTGCATTGGAACCGGGTGGAGGACGATCCGGCGACGCGTAGAGTGAGGGTCTCTCGCTTGGCTGGTCAATCTTCTTCCGGGACAAGGACTTCTACCAGACCTCAAGGAGGAGGAGATCGAGAACCACGTCAACGTGATGGGGAATGGCAGCAAATGAACCACGGAGGGCAGAGTGCTTCATCCTCATCACCAAGGGGTACCAGGATGGGTGGAGGCATTGAAGATGGACATCAAGGGAGACCGGATCCCGCGCTGAATGAGCCACAAGAGGAGCCGCCGAATCAAGCTGACCTACCTGGAGGGCATCATCTGCAGATCACCCTGACTGGGAGGAGGAGGCGATTCCCCAATGAGCCAACGTGGAAGATCTGGTTCGCGGAGTCCAGCAAGTGCTTCCATAGACAGCGGAGCTGCAGGGGATTGAGCAAGGCCAACCGAGTTCATGAACAGCCGGTGTGTGGAGCCTGTCAAAGGGCCACCAGAGGCCAGAGAAGTCTTCGAGAGACGAACTTCGTCTATGAGGACCAGCTCGGCAACTTCCACACCGATGCTCGGTGCAATGCGGTCACGGGACCGATGACTGAGATCCGCCAATGTAAAGTGTGTGGCGGTTGAAGCGGTTTGAGCCTACGGCTCGATTTTCGAATGCTGGTCAGATGCTAAACGCACGACCAGGGAGGAGTGCTGGTCCGCAAAGGATGACACGCACAAAACGAGAAGTGTACACTCGACAGCCGCTTTTATGCTCGAAAATAGGAGCGTTGAACCTTGCAAAAACAATGATTTGTTGGAATCCGCGGACCCCGGTCTAGGCCCAGGAACGTGAGCGTGAGTGGAGCGGGGCCGGCGTGTTCCTGTTAAGGGATTCCAGTCAGCGGTGGGCCCAGTACGTCAGCCGTCACAACGCCGTTTCGTTGACATCGTTCATTTTTCTGGTTTGCTGGGGCCGCGAAAACATTTGTTCTCGGTAAAGGCAGTGTCCAGGCTTGGGTCCCGGGTTCGACTCCCCCCAAATGAAGCGTTTGGGACATGGCTTGGCGTGGCCCCTATCGATTTTGCAAGGTTTTGACCAATTCAGTATACTTACTTAAGGCGGCACATGACTGGAGTACATGTACGGAAGTTTTGTTGGATGCTCATATGTATATAATGGCCATCTTAGGTTGGAGGCCATCGCTCAGCGTCCCTCATACGCACTTTCTCGGAGCTGGCGATGCTCCGAGACTCTGTGGGGGGCTTCCTGATCTTTTCATGCTGAGCCGAGGTAACCAGCCAGAGCTGGTTTCTGCAGCGGAAACTTCTCCTGCGACCTCCCCGCGTCTCGAAGCTCCAATGATCTGCACGCCCCCCCCCCCCCCCCCCCCCCGCCCCCCCCCCCCACCGCCCCCCCCCCCCCCCCCCCCCCGGAGAAATGGCTGCCGCAAGCGGCCGCGAGCTATTCAGCTTTCTTCAAAGCCAGGAACCTCCGGAAGAAAAAAACACACACACACACACACTTCTATCTTCTCGAGGTGAGAAATACAGGGGTGGCATGACAGCCACATGAATACAAATAGATCAAATAGATTGGAAAAAAGGGATAGGGTTCTACATGCTCGCATGCTCCGATCCCTGCTTGCAACTTTATGTTCAAGCATCACCTGGGTATGACTGCTACCATCCCAACCCTACGAATCCATCCAGCTGTTCGAATCAATCGTCCTCCCTCTTGGTTCAGGAAGTCGTCAACGGCTTCAAAGGAACCCGAACCATTCACCTGTTAGGACCAGTTCTCAGTTGAGTTTTGCAGCGCCCAAAGAACCCAAGGAACTTGCAGGCTCCACTCTGGTCGTTGAACCACCACGGGTCGTTGAACCGAAGCCGCCGCCCCGTCCCGTCCCTTGGTCTCCAGGTGGCACTGCCCAGAAAACGCCCGAGGTGAGCACACTGAAGGCCCAAAGCCTCGGTTTACCAAGCTGAAGACCCAACATAGATTGAAGGACTGTTTTTCAGGTCACGAACGAACTTGCGGCTCAACCAGCACGCTCGAGCTATGTCTATCACTATATGTCTGTCTGTTGCTTCCAAAACTGCTGCTCTGTTACGCTCGCCCCTGAGTTGCCAGGCGCGTAGTTCGCAGGGTACCGGTCCTGACAGGTCTGGGACATCGCCCCGACTCCAGAGCGTGGCACCGACATCCACGACCCTTTTTCGTGGGGTTTTACGGTTTTTCTATCTATTTCGTCAAAAAAACAGTTTTTCGTTGGCTGTGTGGACCTTTCCAATCTAAAGTGGAGGATCTGGGTATTACCTTGGATCTACCAGGACCCAAAACAAAGGACATGTAACAAAATGACAACAAAAAAACAAACAACCTCTAAGACAGGCTTTAAACAAAAAACCTAGTTTCTGGCAGCACCCAGTTCGGGTGAGGTGGCTGAATATCAACGCCCCTGTATTCATTCAAAAAATGTTGCATATATTTCCCTCTGGTGTTGGTTTTCTCGTCGTGGACGTCAGTTTCCTTGCCCGAGCTCTTCGGCTCGGCCAGCGCGACGGGTGTTCTGCCAAACAGGGAGGTGTTCAAGATGTCCGCGGTTCCCATCGGTGGATCTGCCTTGAGGAGGACGTATCTTTCAGAACTCACTGGAATACATGTTTGAATGTTTTGAGTTGCTTTTATCTTCATCTGAATGATGTTGGAACACCTCCCAGCACAATGAAGGTTGAAAACAAGCGAGAACTATGATGGAAGGCTCCCTTTTGGTGATGCAGTGAATCAAACAATCATTTCAAAGGGCTTATGTAACTGACTTGTTACTTCTGGTTACTAAGACCGAGACCACTCAAAAAAAAATGGTTGACAATTCCCTATAACATCCTACAATGCAACTACTAGCGCAAGATTCACGGTCTCAAATTCGCACCCCTAAAAATTCCCAGATCCTTCAGAAGAATCTTCACCACGCTCCTTGTAGCAGTTCAAGAGCAGCAAGGCAACGAGATTCACCACGCCGAACATGTAGACGATGCCCTGGACGCCGCCCAGATCGCGCCGTGCTCGACGCCCGTCGCGCCATTTCGCTCTCGCTTCGCAGACCACCTGCGCCGCAGGCCGCAGTCCTCGCGTCGAATCTGTGCTGCCCACGGGGCAAAAAGTCTGCGTGCGCGGCAAACGGCTCAGGCAACGCGCGCGGGGTCTTTTGGCGGAAAGCCACGGGGCATTACCAGGAGGGCCAGTTAAGAAAATCAAGTGTTGCCCCAGGGTAGTTGGATCACAAAGTGTCAATCGATATACGATATATTGTAATTTACAGAAAGCCAGATTGCTATGCCAAATCTGCACGCCCCCCCCTTAAGAAAGAAAAATCCACCTGCAACAGTGGTCTGTGGACCCTCAACGGTTGATTGCAATGAATTAAGTGGCCCCTGGCCCCTGTGAATCAGGAGAACAAGGGCCCCCACTGTCCAAGTGTGCTTCAAAGCGAAATCGAGGATAGTTGAGCCCGCACTGAACTCCTCCCACTTTGCATCACTTTGCCAGTCACCTCAGTCCATCCACGCGCGCATAACAGTCGGTCGTCGCGCGCCCTCGCGCCAACGCGCCAAGTCGGCACCTGGTGGAAAAAGTTCTCCATGCCCTCGGGCTCTGGGATGTGCTCGGCGAAGCCACTCATCCGCAAGGGCACCTGGGCGGCTCCCGTGCCGCCACGAACGGGCGCGTGGCGGTGCGGGGGGGTGCGAGATCCTTGAACTCATCGAACGTGTCCAGCTTGGAAACGTTCGAAAAAGAGTGTGTGTGTGTGCAACCCTTGGAGTCACAGGGATCCTTTCGGGTGGTTTTAGTTGCAGGTGACTTTGCAGGGGGCATGGCAGCTGTTTCCCTAGCCATGCCAACGAAGCTATGGGATTCAGCCGGAGGGGAATGTGGATGCACATTCCTGTACCTGCTTTGGTGTGATGTTCACAAGCCGTGACTCTCACTTTCTTTAACGGGCTAGTGCACGTGGCAAACAAGAGCGCACGACGTCATCTCGACCTGACCTCGTTGAGCTTGAGTTTTGGCCTTTAACTAATTAAAGGTACCCAGGCCCCTCTTTTGTCCTTTCAGAATTTTGGTACCTTAGGTTGCCGAGTGGCGAGCGGCATTCGAGTCAGTACGCATGTCAATAAGTGTGTGTCTCCTGCAAAAGATGCATCACACATCCCGGCAAATGACACCGTTTCTAGATCATGTTCCATCATTTTTCCTGTATACCACATCATCATAGTAACAAGATGTAACAAGGACGCTATTAGGTGGAGGCCATCGCAAGTAGGTTGGAGGCCATCGCGACTAGTAACAAGAAGCTACTAGTAACAAGGGGTCATATGGTTTGGAGAGATGATGGAGTCTAATCGCTACTAGTAACGAGAAGCTACTAGTAGCCAAAAGCGCAATCGTTTCACTGGGAATCGCTTCACCTGTAGTACCTTAGAAGCTACTAACAAGGGGACGATGATGGAATCCAATCTACTTATGGCTTGGATCTATCCAGAGCTACCTGTAACAGTGGATTTTCCGCTTTGGTTCAGGCCTTGTTCAAAAAAAATGTTTTTAGCTTGTTTACTGACTGTTACAGGTCAGTTCGCACAGACCCAAGCCATGGCAAACCAGGTAATCGTCGGCATTGCTCCGACCGGGTCGAGTCTGCTGACTCGACTTGCAAGCGACTGGAAGGACCAAGAGTTCAGTCCAACCGGTGTAAACATGGTATGCCCCAGCTTCTTCAGTTCGTGACCTCTTTGGAGTGTCTAAGTAAGTGACCAACCAGGAACCAGGCCCGAAATTGTGACACCAGTTGGGATATCAAAAGGTCACGAACTGAAGAACCAGGCCGGTATGCAAAACAATGGTTCTTCAATTCTTCAGTGAAAAGCAGTCCATATGATAATCAGTATGATAATCATATGTAAGTCCTAGGACTTCTCCTTCTACCTCTCCCGCCCAACATCCACAAAACACAGGCGCCCGTAGCGATTTGGAGGGAGGAAACACACCAAAGGACCAGATTGACAACAACTCCAGGAGTTCTCTGGCTGACTCACTCATGGGGTGAGTCAGCTTAGATGAAGTCATGAAGTCAGCAGCGCCCGGCCGCACTGCACGGTCGGCCGCTCGGCCGCCAACCGTTTCCGTCGACAGCTGCAAAGGTCGGGTCGCGCCGCCCGGCGCCAGGGCACCGCGAGAAGGAGGATCAGAAGGAGCTGGAGCGTGATCAGGCCAAAGGTCTTCAAACGAAAGGCCCTGACAGCGTCTTCGACCCCGTTTTTGGGGCCCGAAGGGATCCATATGCCACATCCGTAAAAAAAATGCAACGCTCTGACATCTATATGAAGGACCCTAAGGAGATGGTCAAGGGTATGCATAATGTGTATTCAAGGTTGGCATCGCAAGTCTTTCAATACTAACCAGGACCTTCAGTTCGTGATCCTTTGATATCCCAGGATGAGGTCACTTAGGTCTGTACAAGGTCACAAACAGAGACTCCAAAGAGGTCACGAACTGAAGCTCCTGGAAAGTGAAACGCCTTGCCAGATCAGATGCTAATCAACATCTTCCGTAGCCGCAGTAGAGTGTGTGTGTGTGTTGTCGTCGTCGTGTTCATGTGAGTGGTGGTGTTCTCTACTAAGCATCCATACGGTGGGTCCGCGGAACCTTTTACGTCATCACAACTCTTCAGTCCAATGCAGTGAGTCCGGACAAATCCCGAGCGATTGGCCATGTACGGGGCATCCAGAGATCTGATGTGAGGTCATGTGAGGTCAATAGAATGCTCTGTACAATCAGTCTTTCCAAAAACATCCAAAAACACCGTTCCAATGAATCTGGCGACCTGCCTATAATTATGCAGAGGAGGACGTTCAACCTTTCAAATGCTGCTTTTACGCACAAAACATGTTGTCTCGAGGTCCAGTAGCAGCTAGATAGCCACTATCAGGCACTAGTGCACATCAACGTTGGTGCTCATGCAATCATCCCCAATGATTGTCTTGCCGGACAAGAACCAAAGCGACGAACATGCTCAGCACCAGCCAACCCTTCGATCCGTAGCACCAGCCTGGATGATAAAACACCACCCTGACCCAACCCAGTTTGTTGGGTGGTGGATGGTGCTAGTGTGATTATGGGTACTGCTGCTAGCTGTGCTCCCACTGGGCGCGTGTTGTGTGTGTCTTCCTTTCCAACTGCGGCAACCACCAACCACCACCCCAACCGTCCCGTCTACCGTCCCTCCCCCTGCACCACCACCCGGCACCACGTCACGGTCGTCCAAGCCACTCCGGTCCAGCTTACGACCGCGCCGCGGTCGCCCCGTCGCCTCTGCATGTAGCGGGGCACCTCGCCTGTCACGGTGGGATAGCGCCAGGTCGACCTGGCTGGGGAGTCACAGCGTCGAAGGGTGCGAGAACGGATGGTGGAGGACGGTGGAACGATGGGAATGGGGGAAGAGAGGTGGATTGGATGGGATTGGCACCGAGCTTTGAAGCTGACGTGAGCTTGGGAAGCGAAGAGTCAAGCCTTCGACGGGATTTGCCATCTGACTCAGGAAGTCTGGTGGTCGATCTTGATGGTTTTTCATGGTCCGATGACTGCCATGTCCTTTTTGCTGCAAAGGGTCATGCAAGAGGGAAAGCTGCAAAGCTTGCATGATCATCGAATACAACAACGAATCCACTGAATTGCCTTTTGGAGCAGATTTGCTGAATTCTTTGGGCACTGACCTTCACTCGGAGCGGCTCGGTCCCCGGTGTCTTTTCAGTTTTGTAGCGAAGGGACACCACACACAAATGTTGCGGCGTTGGGATTTCAGTCTGGAAGTACTGGACCCCCTCACATGATTTCGGAATCTAGACTCTTGAGGACCATACACCGCCATTTGAACTGAAGATCCTCTGAGCCTCTGGGTTCTTTTGTGCCATCCTCTGAACTTGAAGCCCGTATCTGGGAATGGAAGACTGCCCCACTGCCCTTCGGATCTCTTCGGCCTCGCCCAGATGGGCCTGGCGCGAGGGAGGCGAAGCGTCCGCGGCGCGCGGCAAACGAAAACAGGCGGACGAAGGCGATGCGATGGAAGCTGATCAACAGTTTCAACACCCAGAAACTCCATGTATGGCATATTTACCTACATTGGCCCCTGAAACCACCCCATCCACCCCAATGGATGCAAATATGCCATTCATGGAGTGTGTTTTGACATGTCTGTTCAAGCTGAGAGTCCAACGAATTTCTTTGATCCATCCCACTGCCATGGAACTGGCCTTTTTACATGGGTGGTTGATTTCAAGGGTCAATGTAGGCATAGTCCAATCCAATGGAGTGTCTCTGGGCATGTTCATATATACACAAATCACACAATGTCGCACAGTTTATTTTAGTCAGGATATGTCAGGATAGATCCTAACAACTGCTTGAGAGAAACTAGTACGTAGCCACAGAACCTACCAATCAACACATGCATCTGTCTGTTTTGGCATGCAAGTCATACTCACCTCCCTCTACAGCTAGCTTCCAGGTCCTTTTGGTGGTCCTTTGCCACATCCCCAAACAACCCAAACCAAACAACCCAGCCTTTGCGCGAACATCGCCATGGCAGTGCGCGTGTGCCTCGAACCGACCCCCAGTGCAGCGCTTTCGGCGAAAGAAGCTGCAACGTGCCGATGAATCCTTCAAACGTTGGACACGCTGGGCGCCCAGCGAGAACAATGGCGCCTTGGCCAAGGGCCTAACTCCCTGATGTCTTGCAAGGTCGATCCCGAAAGAAGCTGGTACCAAGATATTAACAGCTTGAAAAAAATGTTGCTGAAACATATATATATATAGTTTGGCTATATCCTATTACCAGGGCCCAGTGGATGATGATCATTAGGTTGCAGGCCTTCCTCTCAAAAATAGAGATGTTCGTTGTTGACTGACTGTTTCCTAGGACAAACTCAACATATTACAGTTTTCGTGGAAGCTGGGATGGCTCACATCTCTATCGTCTCTTGCCAGCTCTGACGCGCCTCCGAAACCGAGCCCTGCTCCGTGCCGGTTGAACCGAAGTGATCTACCCTCCATATCGTCTAGCCACTGGCCACTGGTGCCAGGCCCCAGCTCCGATGTGATTCGTACAGGAATGGTAGACCGGTAGACCGTGACCACCAGGCCTCACCACTAAAACAGAGTGAGCCCACGGTCGGACCCGTAACCTTCCAGTGACCTTCCCGTGGCCCGGAGTTCGCGCAACACGGTCGCCCGGTCCGGGTGTCCCCGGCTCGAGGTCGATGCTGTCAGTGCTGGCCTGGAGGACGAGGAGGAGATGACGGGTTGTTGCTTTTCATGATGGATAGCCAACTCAGTCTGGATTTGGTGCTTATAAGGCACCCTTCAAAGCCTTGGGCCTTGATAAAGGATACAGTATGGTTCATTGAGATGTTAAAAAAAGAACACCGATGTGTTGATTGATGTTGATTTCTTTGCCCTCTCAGGGAGTGATGTCAATAGATTCTTTCTGTTGGACCTCGCCTCACTTGCTAACCTGAATCCATATCGGGGCCACCAACCGTACATCGAGACAACCGGAATTTGTTTGTGAAACTGGCCGCCCGTTGACCTAGCAAAAGACGGAACTTGTGGATTTGAAGCACACCAGCTCTCGTTCATACCCACTCCAGTATGGAATAATATACCTGCAAACCCCTCAAACCAATCCAGAATGTCAGTGAACATGCCATGCAATACATGTCAGCCACGGAGTGTCTGGTTGTTCTTTTCTTGTTTTTCACCATGTAGATCTTGTTCTATTCAGGTCCTATTTCAATCTGCTCAGGTTTCAATCTGTTCTATCATGACCTTCTTCTTTCCCCCATCTTTGTCCTCCTTGACTCGCTTCCACAACAGCGCCTGCCGCTCATCTACTTCAGGCCTGTTGGGCCTGTCATGCAGCGAAGATGCGGAACATGCGGAACACGCAGACCGACTCCGAGGAAGGGTTCAAATCCAAAACTAGAAGAAAACGCTTCCAGCACACTCCAACAGGTCACCACCTGCGACTTTTAAGTCACGCAAAAAGCCTCCATTTTGGAGACCTGTAGAGTCGGGTGCTGGTTGGAAGTTGTTGCTATGTGAGATTAAGCAAGAACCGCTTGTTCCAAAGTTGTGCAACATCGCTGCGAGGCTGAAAGGCTACGCCCTCTTGCAACCACGCAAACTAGTTTGATATGAGGCGAGAGAATTCAATTACATCTAGGCCTGTTGAAGGAAAGTCATGTTTTGGTTCCAGTCAGAGGACTAGCCCTTTCTGTGTTTTGGAAAGTGAATCCCTATGCCCGATGCATTCACGCAGGAGGAGAAGTGGATCTTGTCCCACATCCACTCCGCCCCCCCCTTCTCTTCCGAATCAACGACGATATCATAACGACACCTACACTGACACGCTGCATCAAATCCGTACTGTAAGCCGTGTACCCAGTTATATATGCAGTACGGACTATAACCTAGTTTAACTTAGGTTTTGTAATCCTCCATAATGTTTTTCATGATGGATTAAACTCCCTCACATCACCTCTTGGCCGCGGTCCAACGTGGCGGACACAGCCGTCTGATGTCCAACTCGGTCTCGACCCCGTGACCGGGACGTCTGCCATTCGTTTCGCTCGGGAGAGACACGCTTGGAGCGAGCGATACCACCCCGGAAAGGCAGCGTGTTTCGTGGGCGTATATCGCTCGTTCGGTGAGCGATCAGAAGTGGTAGTTGGTGGATTTGGAACTGGGCTCAGGATGTTTGTATACATGGTCTATGTTGAAAAATACCCTAACACTCCAGACTGGCATGGACTGGCATATTTGCCGATCAGTTGAGATGGTTGACCTGGCGTATCCTGGGGTCCATGTAGGCGGTATACTAGGCGGTATATAGTCCAATCCCGCAGGTCGTGTCTGGGTTGGAGGGTCTTAGGTTGGACGCCATCGCTAGTAGGGTGTCTTTGTTCTTTCAGTGTCCTAGAGCCGACCAAAACCCGGGCCACTCCGTGCCGAAGAGCGCGCCTAGGCTGAGCAGGCACCACCTGCACCTGCAGTGCGGAAGTGCGGCGAGTGGCTGTGGGTGGCACCAGGACACCCAGCTTGACCACGGAAAATGAAGAGAACAACTGTAATTCATCAGTAATCAGACCTACCAGCTAAGTCAACCCCACAGCTGACAGATGGTAGGGTCGCACCAGAATACATCAAACCTGTGGGTCATGACCCTGGAACCTCAGCTAGGTGAAGCCACAAGGGTTTGGGGTTCCAGGAGCCATGACCGTGAGTGGAGCCACGTGGGTTTGCTTCTCGACTCTCTTCCAGAAAAACCAGGAGCCTCCCTAGCCAAAGAAGAAACAGGAAGGGGATGACAGACATTCCGAAGGAGTTCGGCCATGCCATCCACTTTCATAGTTATTTCAGTGCAGCTCTGCTGGCCCCCACAGCTAGCGCCGGCCTCACTGTCTGCGGTCTCATTCTCCAGCTCTCCACGTTCAAGGCCTCAGTTCTTCAACTCAAGGCCTGGGATTGCTCAGGTTGAAGGAATAGACATCCTGCACCCAGCAAACGCCCAGTTGACCATCAAGAACAAAGGTCTTCACATGCTACCAAGAGCTGCCACACATTGGCTGCCCCAAACTTCACGTCGATTCCAGAGATTTCAGCTCCAAAAACGTGGGGAACATCTGACAAGACGAGGGGGAAACTGAATACACATGGACTCAAAAACAGAATCCGAATCCCGCCGATGGTGCAGAGATGCACTTGAACACCCTGAGTGGTGTTACACTGCTTCATGTCTCAGGCACCGAGTGACGTCCCCCAGATGTGGTTGAAACCAAGTCGCGTCCGATCGCTCCGTTCGAGTCGCGAAATGCCCGGTCCTGGCTCCGTTCGAGTAGCGTCCTCTCCGTTCGTCGTCATGCATGGCACAGGTGGGTCGGAGCTGCCAGATCGAACATCGGTGATCTGGATGGTTTGCAAACCCATTCAAAACAGATCTATGGAGATCTGGATGTTTCTTCTAACCATCCACCTGTGATCAAACCATCCACCTTTCTCCCACTTCGCTCGCTTTTCTCCCCCGTCCGGGGCTCCCCCACGCTCCTCCACGGAGCCTTCAGCCTGGTACACACGACGACTAGCTCGGCATAGCTCGGCGACGGGTGTTTGCGACTCCAGTGGTGCACTTTCTGTGTCACTTTCAGTCGTCGCGGATACCCTTTCAACCTTCGAATGGTGCGTTCCATGTTAGTTCGGTGTATTCTCTTCGTCCCTGGAGGTGGGACAGAATGACCGTAAAACAGCAGCCAGTGTCGACGAGTGCGTCAAAAGAGCAATAAAACAATTCATACCAGGACCCTCCTGTCGGGGTGTCCTGGCTGGACTACCCCACACTACCTATAGGCTTCCATTGGGCACCCCGACAGGAGGGTCCTGGTATACATAATTACAGATCTTAAATCTGATCCTGCTGGGCCATGGTGATGACGTGTACTAGGTCAACAAAGATCCCAAGGACGAGTGTTTCTGAACCGATTCAACTTGAATCGTTCAAACCACCATCAAACGGAGGAACATGCACAGAAAAACCAACGAGGGCCTAGGGGTGGTCCCAAACCGGTTCCAAAGGGAGCAAATTACAAATTAGTCCTTCTGTTTGAGGCTCTTTGTCACGCACCTCATATCAATTGATGACCACCTTCGAAACCGCCCCATCTCGCAGCCTCGACCTCCAAATGGCCTCAACGCGGATGCCGCGTGCTTAAGGCCCTTCGGTCCGTAGAAGAGCCGGAAGAAACGAGACATCGCCCAGGCCAACCACAGGACGTTGGGTCCAAACCACTCCATAGGACCTGCCAGGACGGACTGCCCCAGACAGACCCCCAGTCAACCACCCCAGGTGATCGGCAGTCCGTCCCAGTCCCAGACAGGTCGTGTCTGGGGATGGTTTGAAAGGGGGGTCGTTGTATGGGGCTTTCTGCTCCCCTCCAGTCCCACGCACCGTCTGGGCCCGCCGATGGCTGGGTGTGTTGAAAAGGACGGAAGGCCAGGCCGAAGACATGGACGGAAGGCCAGATGTTCATCGCAGCGAAATGCAGTCCCCAACGAGTGGTCTGCGGTCTGCGTTTTTCTGGGTCGAATTGACCTTGGTTCGATGCCCGTTTGGGCTCCTGTCCCATATCCTCAGGTTCGGTGGTTAGACCCCCAAAGCCCACCCCAACCACTTTCTCAGGAAGCAGTTGGAGCCCTAGGGATGGATGGCAAGTGGCAAGGTTGTTTGTAGGTGTCCAACGAATCACAGCTGGAAAGCAGATCCCCATAACCTACTCGGGATCCATCGGCGGTCGATTCTTGAGTTGGAATCTCAACATGCATCTACGGCTTTCGGCCATCTCCTCTATAGTCACTGATGGGCCTATATGGGTGTGTTTTTTTTACCGTAGTCGGGCCGGGAAGTTTGAATAGGTGGTATGATTTGAGGGTATGGTTCGGGGTATGATTCGGGGGTATGATTCGAGGGTATGATTCGCAGATGATTCGCAGCTTTGAAGTTGTATTGTTGGATTAGTTGGACTTCCAGCAGTGGGCCCACTCTGCGCCGAGGCAACAGGCAAGCAGCATCTGTTGGATGCTGGGCAGACTAGGCAAATGCACTCTTCCACCAAAGACCCCAGTGGCCCTCTGCAGGCCCCACCAAAACAACCAGGATGTGAGATGGGTGGGAAACTGTGTGGAGGTGCGTGATTCGGGTATGAATCGGGCATGAATCGGGTGTGATTCGTATGGCCATTAGATTCTGCAAAAGAAGGCGGTCCTTTGGCTCTTCCCAAGGGAGAGCACATGGGAACATTAGGAGTACCTCTGGGATGTGAGCCTTTGCTCTTCCCACAACAAGACAAACAATTTTGGCCAAATTGAGTGCCCATGGATCGCACAATTGCAGCCGTCATGCACCATTGGCTCATGGACATCTATATACAAGGCACAAAGACCAACCAAAAACTTCACCTTAACACCTGGTTCTTACCTGTACCTTTTTGAGGGGTATGATTCGGGGGTATGATTCGGGGGTATGATTCGAGGTATGATTCGAGGGTATGAATCGCTCAAGTCGAACTTCCAACCACTACATCAGGAAGTACACGCCAAAAAAATACAAACCCATATGGACCTGTGCCATCATCATCCAAACCTCCAAAAAGGTATACGTTCCATGCGCCATCATCACGTTGGATGGAAGCGGTCAGGAAGTGGTCTTATGCGCGGCCCGGAAAACCTTTGTCCATGTTCCTCTAACGAAGCCCTAGGCTTCGAAAACCATGTTTAACAAAGGTCTTTGACATGAGACCTATTAATCCTGGTGAAGCGCCTGTCTTTGATCACTGAGGCCTGTCTTGAAGGCCTTTGGGATGCGCCCAGGTGTTCCTCGGAGGCTCTACTCATGGCTCTATTTCACGGCTCTCTCTCTCTCTCTCTCTCTCTTGAGGTCCGTGAGACACTGTGGGCGTTTCTCAGGACATGGCTCTATACTCGTGGCGCCGCGAGTTCCGCGCGGGGCGCCACGTGTGTGTCTCACCGGTTCTCGCCCAAACAGAACTCTTCTCTGGGTGCGCCGAACGGGAAGCTGATGCCTGCAGTGCAGGTGAGGTGTGCAAAATGTTAAAAAAGAAGGCCTCGACTCAGAGGAAAGGGGGTTGCCAAAAACAACTATAGGTGACGAGCAACTGCTCAAGCCTTGCAACATCTCAGATCTCAAAACATGGATCATGACCTCATCTGTGTCAAATCGTATACGAATCCGTTGAACCGTACCCATCTCCACGTTCGATCTCGGCTTTCAATGGAGATTCCCCCCCCCCCCAGCAAAAATAACACGCCCGAAGAGAGTGCTGTTTGTTTCCATGGCTGGCCGAGCTCGGGGCGTGGACACCACTCATCCTCCGATCTCATGGGTGGATGACCAACACCAACAGAGGCCTTGATTCACCGCTACGACATGGGGGTTTTAAAGGTTTGGTTCAGGTATGGACCCCTGCTTTTAAGAGGCCCAAGGATTCTTAGGCGGTTGCAAATGGCACAGGACCGAGACCAGTGGTGTCCTAGAGTCGCTCCGAGACAAGGCTTAGCATAACAAATGCTCCCCAGAAGCAATGTCTCTGAGCACCCTGGAATATCCTGGAATTGAATTTAAGATCATTGAAGGCGGGGGGGTGACCAGTTAAGACTCAATCAGGCAACATGAACAACACCCACCATTATTGGACGCCGGTCAACATGGTCAACCGACACCAGGGACCGGTCGACACGGTTGGGCGGGTTCGCTTCGGACCTACATCGCACGACCGGTTATGGTGGTGGGTCCCTTAAGGTGGTGCCATGATGTGCCACCCCATGAAGCATCCACCCTTCAACCTTCAACCCTTCAACCCCTTCAACCCTTAAGCTTCCACCCCTGAAAAACCCTTCGAGTCGTCGTCAGCCAGGTCCGATTCAGTGGTCTCCAGAGATGGACCACATCGGACGACGTACGACGCGGTGGACCCGGAGGTGACTGACCCCCGCGGAGCCGCCGAGGAGCCGTGGTGTTACTCCATCGTCCCAGCGATCTCACGAGGGCTAGGGATGGTCCAGGGATGGCAGTGAAGGCTTGTCACTGGTTAACTAGACTTATTTTTCCACGTGAGTCATGGGTTTTGTGGATGGCATCTTGGAGGAGATCATACCAAACAACTACCAAACAGTTGGTGATGTTTCATTCCACTTTCCAGTCATAATGATGTCAGATGTCGTGTCAGGCATCCACTACTACACCAAATCCAGTTCCTTCTAACCACGCGCTGTGAAACGACCGTCCTCTCCAAACCTGCCTTTTCACTGCTCGACCTTCTTGCCCCGCCACCCGCCACCCACGACCGGCGACCTCCATAGAGATCGGTCGAAAGCCACCGGGCACGGCGAGTTCACCTGCGATCGGAGGTTCCGGGAGGACGGAACCTTCATGCCACCCCTAAGCATCCGGACAATCAAACAGATATATATATATATATATAGGCTAAGGGTTTTGAGGGGCCCGGGAAATGTCTGGTGCAGTGGAGATTGACTTGTGCTTCCGATTTCGGGAGGGTGGCTGGATCCGAGTCTCATCATTTTGGAGTTTCTTCCCGAAATTCCCTATACTAAGCACCAGTCAGAGGCACATGGTCACATTGAATTCAGATGGGGCTGTGCAACTGTTCCTTCTCATTCCTTCTCACTTAGATGAGGTGCTGTGGCTGGGCAGCTGGACGGACCGGTGTCATCGCCCCTGACTCTGAACATCAAGAGTCTGGAACCCTGCCAGTGGTCAATGACCAATATGAGTGGACCCTCCAGAATCCGTACCGGGCTGTCCCCAAACATCGCTCGCGGCCGAGGCGTCGCAGCGTCCGTGCAATGCGAGAAACCCAAGCGAGTCGGGCGGGTCTCTGTTGGAGTGATCTACAAAGACTTGATCATCACAGCTGCTAAACCTGAAGGAGTCATGAATGGTGTTTGTCTGCTTTCCAGGACCCTCCTGTCGGGGTGTCCAATGGACTACCCCATACCTACCTATATAGGCTTCCAGACAGGGCACCCCGACAGGAGGGTCCTGGTTCACATCTTTGTTTCTGTTTTATGTCTTCCCTTTCAGCCCCATGTTCCGCCCATTGCTCCGTCCATTCAGATAGTGTCTGTTTCCGCCCGCACCTCCAGCAGCGCCTCCAGCGGCCAAGGACCACAAAGCCACACGAGCCACCAACGGCACCAAGCACCGAACAATGCAGGTCCAGAGGACACGTCATGGACTGGTCGCCAGTAAACAAGCCGATAGACAAATTGACCCCCAAGAGAAACAAACTTAGAACATGTGTTTTTGTTGTGTTTGCGGCTGACATGGTCCTTGGCAAAAAAATCGATTGGGTTGTAAGGCATGCCACATGCCACGTGGCAGTTGTCCAGCCCAAATGGACTGGGACAATGAATGAAATATAGCTAAGGGATGCTAAGACACCCTGGATTGGGTCCATGAAAAAGGATTCGGATAGGCTAGTGCGGGTGTCGGATCCACCAAATTCCGCAGGTTTCAAGAATGCCTCGATCCCGGGGACCCGGACTGGATTGAGTTTATTGGGTCCTCAGGATCGTCTAGCCCCATGACTTCGTTTTCGGTTCTTCCTTGGACGATTGAACTTTAAAACATCGATGTTCGAGGGATGAGTTCCTCTAAACAACTACCATCATGAATATCCAAGACTCATATTTTGCAAGCCAAGTGCAATGTTTGGGACGATGTGACCTCAATCCATGTTGGGCATCAGCTCAGGTTCCTCAAACTCAGCATGTCCGCCTCCGCCCCGCCCCATCGCCCTTTGTTCTGCGTATGCGGCGGTGCCTGACGCGTCGGGGGCGCGACCGAGGAACGCACAACAGCGCGGCCCAGTCACGGAAGGTCGTAAACAGTCATCCTAAGCAAGGAAAATCATGCTAAACAGCTCAAACTACACGGAAATGCTCATTTTTCCGAGATAACCCAACAACTTTCCAACAGCATCGCCATCGAACAAACAGCGTCGCCGTCGAACAGAAACGACGCTGAAGAATCTGGCGTGGATGGAAGCTAGCCTCAGAACAGAAAACTAAAGGTGGGTATGGTCCATATGGTTTCAATTTGGTTTTTGTATTTGGCCGGTACTTTTTCTGAATCCTTGGTTTCGAAGGATCATTGGCCTCATCATTGCCTGCGAATGGAAGGTGTTCGATGGTTTTTCCTGTCCAGAAACTTTGCCACGACCTCTCTCTTACCTCTTCACACAATCACATTTAGAGGCTGAAAAATGACCTGCTGGGGTCCTCCCTCATCTTCCGATGAACTTGCACTTCCAAGCCTGGAAGCATGCACCAAGCAAAGCCAAGCCCTAACCTCCATATTATGTTGCACCTCCCTTCACAGATTATGTTCCCCACGCTTCCCCCCATTGCCCCTCACTCTGTCGACGTTGCACTCTTTGTGTTTTCTATATTGACTTCTCTCATCTCCTCTCCCAGTATTTGGTCTAACACATCACGGACCGGGCCGCACACGAATCACGACGCCTACGGTGAGACACTGAAAATTGGCAAAACTGGGAACTGTCAGAGATGTTGGAAGCTAGCCTCCCAAGACAAGCTGTTCATTGAAAGCTCCAGCAGTTCGCTCATGGCAGGAAAAAACATGGGGATAATGACCGACCAAACCTTCCCTTGCCTTGTCTTCATTGGCCTGGGGAGACTATCTTCTTTGGCATTCTTTTCCCTACAATAGCATGTCGAGAAGTTGCACGCTGGCAGTTGAGCAGGTCTGAGTCAATCTATCCTGACAGTTCCTCAGCCCAAGCTAGCCGGAGCCGTCAGCGGTTATGGACCGTGGCCACCAGCATAAAGGCCTGCCCCAATGGTCGAAACGGAACAACCTTGGAAGCCATCGCACTATTAGGTTGGAGGCCATCGCTAGTAGGGTGGAGGTCTCGTCAAGGGTGGTTCTATTCTGTAGCGCCAGTTGAACCCACCAGCGGTCCTCAGTATTCTGGGCCACCAGCGGTTCGAACCTGCAAGAATAGTGGTGATATAGCTGCTGCTGTAGAAGCCCTGGTTCCACAACGATGTCCCATGGAAAACAAATTAACCTTTTTCCTTCTGTTCACATTACTTGGTTATGAAACTGACTGGGTCGGGATCCTCTTGCTCTCTGAGTGGATTTTAAACTGCCATTTGTAGACGCAAACAGGCCCATGATGCTTATATTTGCTGTGTGCATCCATATTGCGAAGTTCTCCGGACATGCAAAATCGATTATATTTGGCGATTGCCTAAAGACGACTGTTCTGGTCATTGTCCTTTGCAGTGCTTGACATCTCAACCATTCTCAGTCCCTAAAAATCTTGAACACTTTGACAACGGCCTAAGAGCGCACCCCTACTTCTTCCCAGCCATTCACATGGCATACGACTTGCGTCGGCCCTCGCCCCTTCTTCCGCGACCGTTGGCTCCCACCGCGTCGGGCGCCTGGTTCACACCGAGGTAAGGGAAGATCAGAGTCAACCTGGTTCGCTCACGTCGTCCATTCCGATTCTTTCCCGCTGCGACCGAAGGGGAATGGAGGGCGTCCACCAACCCAATGGGGGCACCGGAATTGAGAGACCCACGAATCCATGTACAGTCTGTATATATACTTATATCATCTTATATCTGCTTAAACTTACAGTATATCTGTATATCCATGATGGGAATGGCATCTTGACCTATCTTGTTGACCTGGGGTCAATCTATACGTAGGTCAATCTTGCCTTTTGAAGTGGGTTCTAAGGGATAGAGAGAGAGAGATGAGATCCCCCGGACCAATGGATTCTGAACCCATGTCGACTAGTCTTCCCAGGTTCCATCATGATCCGTCCATGGAAAAGTTTGGAGACACGGAGGCAACATAAGAGACACCATGTCATCAGTTGCTCCGTTCGTAGCGATGCCAGGAGCCCCGATCGTAGCGTCCGATCGCTCCGTTCGTAGTGATGCCAGGAGCCCCGATCGTAGCGTCCTTGCTCCGTTCGTAGTACGCTGTGATGGGACATCCATGGACTCCGTGTTGTGTCTTTTTGATGATCAACACACCACATCAGACTGACCTCCAATTCCTCCACTCTCAACTCTGCATGCACGTCTATCCAACTTGCCATCCTTCACCGATCAACACACCTCATCCTATCTTCGTGAGGTGTCATGATGTCCCATGGATGCACCACACTTCCGTCCCTGACTCGCCCTCTTCCCGTGTCAAACCCCCGGGGGCTTATGGTGCCCTCGACCCGGTGGCTTCGGACCGTCTCCGGGGACGTTGCACCGGTGGTGCTTTTCGGGTCGCTGCACGGGTGTTCCTCTACCTGGAAGACGGTGTTCCTCTACCAACCAGTGGTTTTCAACCAGTAGTCGGACCAGTGGTTTTCAACCTGGAAGACTGTGTTGCACCAGTGGTCGCTCCTCTACCAACCTAGTGGCCCATGTGAGTTTTCCACGGAGTCGTCTGAATTCCAGGACATGCGGCAAGGGCATGGCGATCATCCAAGCAGGACCCAGCCACTTCAGGAAGCCGGTGACCTACAGGAAGCCGGTGGTCGGCTGATGGGATGCGACGTCATCGTCGAAGCGAGGTCACATGGTCGTCAGTCTGTTTCAATGACGGCGAAGCACTGTGCTTCCAAAGAGCCTTACCTGTAGTAGCGACTTTTGTGAGGCTAGTGGTGGCCTGCAAGAAAAATGGAGCTGGTGCAGCAAGAAGAAACCAAATATAGCTACCAGCGTCTTCAGTTCGTGACCTCTTTGGAGAGCCTTTTCGTGACTGTTTAGAGGCCCGAGATCGTGACCTCAAACTGGGATATCAAAAGGTCACGAACTGAAGAACCCGGTATACTGATCTTTTTGCTTCTGCGTTCTCCGGTCCAAGAGGCCTAAGAGGACCTTGGACGGTGGAAGTGACTGAAAGCCTGGCTCTCTTCACTTCCACCGTCTTCCATCCTTCACTTCCAAACACTCACAGACCCAAAACGCTGGAACCCAAAAACTCCGCCGTTCAGCGCCGTTCAACGAACCAACTCTCTGCTCCCCAAAAGGGGTTGGGCATTGGGCCAATTGGGCATGGCATGGCTTCATTTGGCACAGCAAGATGCAGTCGATCCAATCGCTGCCCGGATCGACACTTCGGCGCTCTTCTCCGATCTGATTCTTCGGCCCCCCAGCGAAATCATTCAGAATCAAGTCGTGGAGCAACAACTCCCACCAACCCAGCGTGGTGAAGGCCTGGCGGCTACTGGGGCGGCAGGGAAAAACGGGAAGGGCTGGCAGCGTCACGGAATGCTTTTGAATTTGGTGATCTCCAAGCTGTCACGTCTTACACTCTGACTCACTAACGAAAGAAAAGAGTGGAATATATTAGGTCACGCAAAAGACATCAAAAGACCCTTTGCGACGATTTGGCTGTACGAACCACGCTGCTATTCCACTTCCATGGAATGTGAGTCGGAGAGTACGTCTTAAAGTTTTCTTGCTGGCCCGTTCTGTCCTAGTCACGAAGGACACATTGGCAGTCACAAAAGTCGCTGTCAGCGTTTTCTGAGGTCTTTTGTTGCTCAGGTCTCGACGTGGGTGTGGGGGGGGAGTGCTGAGCGAACGGAGTTTCTTGGCATGAGCAGAATGGTGACTTTCCAGCTCAAACGTGGAAACCGCTGGTGGACGAATGAAGTTGAATAAGAAAAGCCACCCTACAGGATATTTACAGGTTCGGTTGAAAACAGTCAAGCTTCCAAGTGACTTCTTCAAATATCGCCCAGGTCCCCCCTAGGTACGCCCTCCACACCTACATCCCCCAAAATGTTCTCCCTAAAAAATGGGATTTCTACCAGGAGTCACGTGGTTTTGGGTCCCCTTACGTGAGTGGATGTTCTGGGGACCCCGAAATCCTCCAAGTCCGGCACCCCGTCTTGTGACTCCTGGTATGCTATAGCCTTCAAACTCCTCGTTCGCGCCACACAAAACGTCCGCCCGCCCGGCGTTGACGGAAAAATCGTGGTCAGGACGCGTGACGCGGATGTCTTGCTACGCCTGGTACCAGGACATCGAGGACGCCAGCTCCTGCGTCATCGTGGTCTCTCCGACCCACAGGTAGGCGCCTGGTCCGAGCGTCTTCGCGTCCGGCGTCCGTCGTCGTCTCTCCGACCACGAGCGAGGACGCGAGCGAGCAGGTGAATGAGAGGGGAAACGCTTGGCTCCGACAAAGAAGAATTAACCATACTTAAGGCCAGGGCCCCAGGGTCAAGACTACCAACTCCAAAGCATGGTATGTTTGTTGTGGACTCATCTCAACGATTCCATGATGAGTGTCAATAGCGGGTGACCCTTCTGTATGCTATATCCTAAGCCCGCAGTCTTCACCTCCGGCTTCCACCTCTGAACATGCTTGAAACCCTAGGTCCGCTCCGTTTTTGCGAACACGGAGGAGAACCCATTCATTCCACGTACCGCTCCAACCGCGCGTCACCGCGGCCGGCCGAGCTCCGGACAGGGATGCAAGACGTCCAGCGCGATGACGGTAATGATGATCAGCGAGGTCAAGCCGCCTGCCCCCAGGACAGGGGAGGTGGGTGGATGGAGGTGGAGGATGGCCCAAGAAAAAGGTGGCAGCTGGCAGTGAACCTTTTGAGAGGTTCATTGATGTGGATAGTGCCAAGTGGAAGGCCCTGGAAATGCCCCAACTAGGAGTCCCTTCCTGGAAGTTGGATGAATATCATGAATACCTCCCACCTCCAACGGCTCAGCCTCTTAAAGAGGTCTCACCAGGTTTGGAGGCAAAAGAGCTCGGCCCTTCCCCACAGTCCGCCCAGAAGACCGTGCAGGAGGACCTGGCTGGATCGGGAGACCGATCGAATTCCATTCACAGCCTGGACACTCCATGGGAAACCTGCTTTCAAGGCATACAGACAGTCCTACAATGGAGTGCCTGAGCACTACTACAAAGGTCCTACCAACATGCCTCCCCGCGGTCGATGTCGCAGGTGGCGCCTTCATCCAGGTGACCGGTCCCACAGAAATAGACCCAAGCGACCACCGCGAAGATCTCGAGCAGCAGGGTCCAGTACTTGACCAAGTAGACCGCGATCTTGCCTGAAAGGAGGTGGAAGTGGGTGGGTTGTTGAAAGAAAGGACACAACTTGTGCAACCTCTACAATAGACTATAGATTGTGGGATTCCTTATTTGCCTATGGGCCTATGACTCACTTAAAGAGGAGGAACACCCCAATAAAACCCCCCAGACACATGGAAACCAAAACCTGCGCTCCCTTGGATTGGCAAGCCATGGGATCCTCAACCACATCCACAACGGCCATGTTTCAATACGTTCAATGAATTGAACGTATTGTTTGCAATACAAATCTTAAGGAGGATAGCAAAAATATGACCAATGAATCTCTAAACCACCGAAAAAGAAAAGTGATATTGGTGAGGTATACCGATGTAAACAAGTTCATTCATCATCCTCTGGGTCTCTCGAACATGCATGTCAGGGAAAGGGTGGTCTCAGGTTCTCATATCAACTGTTGGCGGGCATTTGTTGATCTTCTTTGGTAAGTTGACATGGCAATGCAAAGAAAAAATGATGGACACCGCCCAGTGGCGCCCAGGGCCCAGCACATTGGATATTATAAAGGGAACATCATACCGTGCGAGTCGGTGTGGGTTGTGGGTTGCGTTCGCACGTGCCCTAGAAAGGACGTGAGCGCCGGACTCGTGGAACACTGTCAGGACTCGTGCAAACATCACAGTCCAGACTTGGGATCAACAGAAAGCAAAAGCAAGTCGCTGATGGGTGGATCAAAAGCAAACATCCGCCACAAAGCTGGACTGCAAAACCTTGGTTCTGTTTGGATTGCCAAACGCTCCAAATCACGGCGTGGTGAAGCGGTGTGTGCTTCACCGATGGACACAATATGGAATACCAACCGTGGCCCGCTGTTGGACACTGGGTCACGAATGCACCGGCTTGCACCACAACCCTACGGATCACCACGGATCCCTATGAATCATTGAGTAGCCTTCTGTTCTTGATTACATACCCCTACCCTGGGAGTCAAAGACCATTAAAACAATGGTTGACCTGGTTTTTGTATTGTAAAATCCTTAGTTGATTGGGTAAAGCCTATTAAATTAATGGTTGTTGGAAGCCTAGGGCCTACACCTCCAGTCGTACCTTCTCAGGTTCGGCATGACTGGACCCAACGGTTTTGGCACCCGGGCACCCGACCGTCCCACCGAAACGAAACGAAGGTAGTGACTGGGGGCCTAGGCCTAGGATAGACTCCCTGAAATGAATCCCAAGTGCAGAACCACCTCTTGGGTGGGATCTAAAAGCGTGAAGAAACCCGATCTCGGGGCCATGCCACATCACTGGTGCCGGCTCCAGTCGTAGCTTCGTTTCGTTTCGGTGGGACTGGGGTGGGTGGGGTGCCAGCCACTCGGGTCCAGTCATACCGAACCTCAGGTTCGGCACGACTGGTTCGCCCAAACGGGATGAGTCTTGAGGCGGGACGTGTATGGACTGGTCCCGACTTCTCATCGCTGAACTTCTCATGGACGGCAGGTCGTAGGCATCGGTCCCGAGAGCTACGTCTCGTTGTCGTAGGCGTCAAGAACCGCTCACGGTTGCCCCTGTTCACTCTGTGTATGGAGTATACGACCTGCCTACACTGAACCCCTTGAACATCCTGAAGCCATCCCAATGTCCAAAGTAGGTTCATATTGCCATACATGATCATACATGATGTCTCACATCCCAACTGGCCACTGGCCGGAGCTTTTGGTCAACCTGCCACCCTGCGCTTCCCGCCCACTCTGCGATGAGGTACCGTTGCGGTCCTGAGCAGAAAGTGCGAAAGCATCAGCTGGCATCAAGGGAGGTACTAGCAGCTAGCAATCATTATACCTAGCTGCTTTATAGCACAGCTGCAAATATTATACTGCTCAGCAGCAGTAACCCAGCAACTGAGCATGACTTTACCCACGCTTTCTGTTGCCCTTGCCGGCTTTGCAGTATATCTGACGTGTGGAACGCATCGCCTTTTGCCTGAGTTGGTCCTCACTGATGGGATTGGAGATGTTGAGAGTCTCATATGCCTGGCACCATGCCTCCTACCCTGAATAGTTAGAGTGGAACAGAGCTACTCCCATCTTTGACCCAAGAAAAGATCTGAGTCTTCAGAGATTGGCATTTGAGTTATAGCGAGAAAGTAGGGATGGCTTCCACTTGAAGATAGCATCTGATCTTGAATTGCCCGGCCATTCTGAGGCTGTACACCTTAAATCAGTTGTAAACCTCTTCATCACCTCCCGGAAGTCATCCAGACATTGATTTTTAAGCAATCCAAACATGAACATGACCGGAAACCGATCCTAAGGACCGGACCAGTGCAGTGCATTGATCGGCCCTGAGAGGTTCAGTGCACATCTAGCTCTCTGGTGGCCCTGCTCTGGTGACCTCTTCTTCATGAAACGGCATGAGACCCAGAGAAACGTTGCCAGCTTCTTCCAGCTTCTGCGCGGGATGGTTTATGGACACCCCTTAACCTCTGAGGAGCTATCAATAGACACCCCTTAGGGTGTCCTGGTATGTCTTCCGGTCCCACGTCTCGGCAGTTTCACTGGGATTCGGTGGGTTTTCTCAAGACTTTTCTTTGATCACTTGGCACCTCTTTCACAGAGTCATCCATCCATCCATCCATCCCTCCATCCCTCCATCCCTCCATCCATCCCTCCCATCCCTCCATCCCTCCCATCCCTCCATCCATCCCTCCATCCATCAATCCCTCCATCCCTCCATCCATCCATCCATCCATCCATCCAGTTTCACGATACATATAATGAGGGCACTATGACTCAATTCACCCCAACAAAATCATCCACGTCACGTGTGGGAGTTCTATGAGATCCATGAATCCTCACATGTCGCCTCTTTGGGGGAGTTATTCTTTTTGGAAGCACCCCACTGAGTGTGTAGCTCAAATAGGGAAACCTCCCCAGATAAACTTCATTGGGGGTCTCCCTATAGACAGACGCACCTGCAGAGGTTGCTGCTGGCACCAGCGCCTACCTACGCAGCCAGGCGCAACCCCATCTCCTCCCCCGACGAATCGTCCAAACAAACCCAGAAGCATTGTAGGTGATGTCTTGACCGTAGCAGTGGAAGCAGATGTAGTCCTGCTTCGCAGCGTCAGTGCAAAGCTCGTGGGTTTGGGGTTCTTCGTGATTCCTATATTTTAGCGGGTGGATTCGTGGATGATGCCATTGTGTTACATCTACACTATTTGTCACACTCCCTTCTCCAAATTTAAACATGGAAGAGGAACACCACCCATGTGCAAGGAATATACTTTAAGGTGGCAAGTGTTCATGTTCTGTGGTTCTTGGATAGGCAGCAATTACTAGATACTCATACCGGTATACCCATACCTAAAGACCATCCTACCTTCTTGGCCGTTTCGCACATGGGCTCAATCGAAACGTACGCTCGCTGCCAGTGGCCGGGGCGCTACGTAACAGTTACTGTCGGCGGCCAGGACTGGCCGCGCCAGTCCTTGCCAACTTGTTTAGAAGATCAAATACTGTAGGTAGAAACGTATAGAAGGAAAATACGTTATCATGAAGTTGTTGCAGTAGTCAGGGAAGGGACATACAAGCATCATACGACACCTCATGACCAATCCCGGGATCACCACATCCTAAGATCTCCGAAGTCGAAGTCCTATTACGGATCCCACCACAGGAGTCATCCAAACATATCCAAACCACTTTGGGTTGCACTAAAAGGAGCGAAGAACCCGGCCAAAACGGACTATCTGTTGCAGGACGTTGGTCTGTTCCCATCTCCTCCGAGAGTCCCACAAAAAACGATCCAACACCATGTCCATCATGGAAAAAGGTGCCATGAGAAAAAAAAAGGCCATGTGACCATGTGTGTTTTTATATATGTGTTTCTCTCGTTTGCACCGTGTGTTGCAAACCTTGGTTCATGATGTTCATGTGCAACAAATGGTGCTTCAAAGCCAACAAACGCTGCTTCTCACGACTGAGTCTGTCGCTCCCGTCGAGCTCGATGATATGATGGTGTTTGTGGGGTATCAAGATCCCCGGCCCAGCGGACTCGGTCGACCTGGTATACTTCAACACTTTGTCAACTGGCAGTCTGGCAGCGCACCCTGTGGTGTCCATCCATGTTTCAAAAAAAAAGAAAAGTGTAAAAAAAACTGTAAAACAGAAAGTGTAAAAAAGTGTAAATTTCAGTTAAAAAAGTTTTTTTTTTTTTTTAAAGTGTAAAACAATAACATTTAGAAAGTGTAAAAAAGACCATTCCTGCAGTGTCGTGGCTCCCCCAGTGCAACACGGCAAGTATCACGCGTCCTGCATCCCTTCCATCATGGAATAAACCGTCAACGGTGCTGTGATGTAGTAGCCTCAAGCAGCCCGCGCAGACGCGGCAGGCAGCGCCCGCGTCTGGTGCTAGCCAAAACGAATCAGAGTTTGGTGCGGAAAGTCTGGAGTCTGGAGGGCTCAGTGGATGGAAAACGATGTGGGACTAGTTTTTGTTGGAAAAGTCCTTGCGCATTCAGTGAAACAAACCGCAAATATGTGCAATACACTGAGGTCAAAAAAAGAGGCGTCGGTGGCGTTCCGGAGAAAACATGAAACAACCTATATAACAAAGCAAGAAGTTGCCTGGAATCCGAACCCAAAATACCACCCGCTTGGAAAAATGAGTAGGATATAGTAGGACAAGTCAACGCAAGACTAGTGGACCATCGTAAAATGAAAGCATTCGTCCAATGCAAACACGTCTGTGGCCCATGGGTGGTCTTTTCGGATATTTTCGGGCCCAGATTGTATGGAGGCTGGCCTTCCTGCCCTGATCCATCTACACTGTTCACTCTGTCTTTACCAACATGTCGTGGTCGGTGATGGTGATCTGATGGTGATCTGGTTGCTCCCTGGACCCAGCCATGAATCAAGGAACACCCTGGAACCTACCAGGACCACGGAGAAGTCTGTGGTGACTATGGACACCCCTTTTCCGTTCCAATCACCACCCCACCACCGTGCTCCTGGTTGAGATTCCGCCTTCCGTCCTCCACTGACGCCCCTTTCCGTCGCGCTCCGCTGTCTCCGGGGGGGTGTCGGTCCGAGAGGCGTTGCGTGGAGCGCCAAATGTTGTCGATGGTCAGCATCACCTCGACCGGACGCGTCCGGACACCGCGCGCGACCCCGCGGGACCCCGGTTGAGCGGTGGACACTGCGGACACCGCGGCGGACCCCCACCCCCGGGACCGGAGGTGAAGGGCATCGGGTCACAGGTTTGTGGAGAAACCAGGTCGGCCAAAAGCGGTTTTTCCGAACACCTGACCTCCTTCCTTGGTACAGTCGCTCGCGTGGAGCGAGCGACCTGGGGCTGGACTGGTTGGAACCCTGACGCAGGTTTCAGCCGTGCATCTTCTATCCCAAAACTACCCCGTTGGTCTGTGGAGGTGCTCAAGAACACTGTTGGCGATAGGAACATGTTGCGGGAGGGTCAAAGTTGGCTGTTCCCCCCAAGCAATTCTGGGTGTGCCAGCTGGTACTAAGTCCCCAGGGTAAGAGATAAGACCAGATTGCGCCAGGAGTGCCCTTGAAGTATCTCAAAGGATGGGTTTCGATTGCCCCGCGGCAGTCAACCTGCTCGGGTGGTCGTTCAGAACATCAGCTACTCAAGCGGCTGACTGACTCGACGGATTTCTGCCTTCGTTCGCACCGCCCGTGCCATGGTCCCCCTGACCGGGGAATAAACACATCAGTACTAGCCGGACGCGGATGCGCAACACCTCGATTAGACACCAGTGCTTAACCACTACCGTAAGAACCCCCAGTGTGTCCACACTGTTTGGGGAAAAACATGGTTCGGGGCTTTCAGCATGCAAACGATCACTGCACCAAAGAAAGAAGGCTAGGAGCCGCCAGCGCTATAGCAGGCATGCTAATGTGGTTTGTATTGATCGTCATTGATCCAAGACACCCCCAAGAATCCCCCGCCATGCCCAAGAAAAAAATTGAAAAAACAAGATGGAGCCCACGAACCCGAATGCAAACACGTTCGAAAAGCTACATACATATGTCCAAATGACACTCTTGTAGGACACTCTTGTGGGTCACTCTTGTCGGAAACTCTTGTGGGACACTCTTACGGGACACTCTTGTGGGACACTCTTGTGGGACACTCTTGTAGGGCACTCTTGTGGGACACTCTTGTCGGACGCTCTTGTAGGAAACTCTTGTGGGACACTCTTGTGGAACACTCCTGTAGGAAGCTCTTGTGGGACGCTCTTGTAGGACACTCTTGTGGGAAGCTCTTGTGGGACACTCTTGTAGGACACTCTTGTGGGACACACTCTTGCGGGACACTCCTGTGGCTAACTCATTTGGGACACTCTTGTGGGACACTCCTGTAGGACACTCTTGTGGGATACTCGTGTGGGACACTCTTGCAGGACACTCTTGTGGGACACTCTTGTGGGACACTCTGCTAGACGAGCTTTTCGTACGAGACTTCCTCCAAAAGTCACGCGTCAAGTCTCAAAAACGAGCGTTTCGTACGAGACTTCCTCCAAAAGTCACACGTCAAGTCTCCAAAACGAGCGTTTCGTACGAGACTTCCTCCAAAAGTCACATGTCAAGTCCCCAAAACGAGCGTTTTGTACGAGACTTGCTCAAAAACTCAGATGTCAAAGTCTGCAAAACGAACGTTTCGCACGAGACTTCCTCCAAAAGTCCAGCGGAAACACCCATCGGAGCACACACATCACGCAGCCCTGCCAAGCAGTTTCGCGATTCCAGCCCCTCCAAATGACACCCGCTCACACGCCAATCCCAATGTGACAGCGACATTCACCTCTACCACAACTCACAACCTCCCGATTCCCTGCGCCTGCCACGAATCTTTCCGCGTCCACACGTCTAACGCACACAAAGTACTGCGCCTGCCACGAAATGTCACCTCCGTCACACCTCGCAACCTCACGATTCTGCGCCTGCCACGAGAATCGCACTTCCACACCTCAAAAAAGCCGCACAAAGTACTGCGCCTGCCACGAAAAGTGACAATATCGTCTCACGTGAGCTTCAACAAAATTTGCACCACACCACACGTTTGGAATGATTTCGACCCGTTCTGAGCACACTCCCATCCACCAAAATCGGCATTTCAGCTGAGACTTGTCACGAAAACAGAGCTTCGATGCCACACCCTGAAACGCAAATCCCAATGGCACAGCCACATCCAACACCCCAAAAACACGACTCTCCAAACGCTAATCCCAATGGAACTGCGCAGCAATCTGCAGATCTCACAAAACGCTGCGCCTGTGCAGCGAAACGCATTTGGTTTCTTGCGCGGCGTGTCATTTTCATGCAAATCACAATGGAATAGCGGCGCAAACTGACACGTGACACATCCATGAAAAGTCACTTGCAAAAGCTTTCCCCAATGGCAGCGCCTTAGCGCTCTACTGCGAACGGTTGCGGACGGTTGCGAACGGTTGCGGACGGTTGCGAACTTAGAAACAACGGGTCGCGAACAAGGCTCTACCCCCAGACCCCCAAGAGTTAAACGAGAACCCTTCGCTATGCATTCGGGAAAAGGTATACCAAGGTCAATGAACTTGAGAGAGGAGGGGGTGAACGAAAGGTAGCAGGCAATCACAAGTAACCCTTTCGTGACATCACAAAGTAGATCAACATAGTGGGCCGAATGCCGCACCCCTGGGCCACCTCATCAGCCAAGGAGCCACCTCATTGGCCTCCATGGAGGCCTCCAAAGAGTGTCGCATGCAGCTGGCGCCGATCATGCCCCAGTTCAGGACCTGCCATGGAGACGTCTAGTGTCACACCGGAGCAGTGTCACGTCTAGTGTCACGTCTGCTGTCTAGTGGGCCTTAAAGAAATACAAGCAAAACACATGCAAAAAGCATTGTTTCTTCTCCATGAACATATTCTCCGTAATTATCATTACTGTACCAGGACCCTCCTGTCGGGGTGCCCTGTCTGGAAGCCTAGGCTGGTAGTGTGGGGTAGTCCAGCCAGGACACCCCTTGGAGGGTCCTGGTACGTGTTGCCTTATTGATCCATCATGTTCCCATCTTCATGTCTGATGTTTGGTCATTGGGTGGACTTGGGGGGCTCCAACTGCCCTCTGACCATGATCCTCTGGGTTTCAAACTGAAACCTCGAATGGGCTCCATGGCTCTGTCGCAACCAAACTGGTTGAGAGAAGTGATGGATGAAACAACCGCCCATGGTGCAAAGAGTTCAATTGCATTGTTTGATTGGGATGGAAAAGCACTTTGACGATTAATTAGTAAGTATGTGGACGTCATCCGCCCTTCGAACTACCTGGCAGTGACCAACCACGCGGCTCAGTCCTTGCGGTTTGGGGTTGTGTCTTTAGTGTATAGGGAAGCGTGTGGATCACATTGACCCCTCGTGGCTGGACAGGACAAAGCCTACATTGGAGACGTCAGGGAAGCCTACTGTTGAAAGCCCGACATGTTGTTTTGGCCCTTAGGACAGACTGCAGAGTAGTAGTCAAACCCACCACCTGAAACATGCACATCTTCCATTCTCTTCCAAACGTGAACCGTTTCTTCGTGCGGTTGCACGCACATGCCTAAACAGCCATCGCTGCCAAAAAGACAGACTATTCCATCCTATTCCGCACGTGCACGCTGGTGCCGCCGTGCGCTGGTTTCGCCTGGAGGATCAGCGTGAAGATGAACATCCCGATGGGTGAGTAATGAAACTCTCCTCAGCGCCGCGCGCCCTTTTCGCACTTCGGGAAGCAATGAGGCAACAGAATGGGGGGGGCACAAAGGGCCGTCTTCATCAGCGTGGGATGTGTCGAGCTGCTGACAAGATTGAGGCTATCTGCTCAAGCAACGCGATCGGCGTCCCCAGTGGTGGTTCAATGATTTGTTCGCGAACCTTGAGCAAGGCTTAGGGGGATTGTGCTGAAGGAGGTGCACCACAACGACAATTTTCCTTGTCCGAAAGGTTTCAAAATCACAAGGAACAGAAGTTGATGGAAGCGCTCCGCTTGCAATCAGCGGAGGGAATATGTTATTGACAATTAAGGAGGGGCTGAGCCAGTGTTCTTCTGGGTTCACGGCCCGTCGTCTCCCCGGGGACCAGTCTCTGCGACCATGTCACGGCTATCAAAGACGTTGTAGAGGTTAAAACCTCAACGTCAGTCACGGATCAAGCCGAGGAAAGGGCAGCGGAATCATATCACCATAGCAGTAGCAATCTGGATCTAGCTGGGTACAAACACCGTCATCAACATATCGCATTCAATTCACTTCCTACATGCTAAGAAAGGGAGACTCGGTTTCTATTTAGATAACAGCAGAAGTTAAGAACTGACCAACCACTTCTCGGTTTGATGGGACAAATCTGGTTCGGAAGGACGATCGAATCCTCGAGAGGATGGCGAGAATCGCCCAACTGCAGGCACCGCTAGCTATAGTAGACCCAAACTACGCTCCCACATGAAGAGAATTGTACCATCCAAACGGATGAGCCACTCCTACCCAAGCCGGTGACAAGGGGGGCGGTGATGTTGTGGGCGCGAACAGTCCACAAGTCCGTGCATCCAAACCGGGGTGGGTTTCATTCCCAAACACGACCTGTTTGGGACTGCCAGGACGGACAGAGCCGCCCGGTCAACCACCCCTGGCAGGTGTCGTCCGCCAGTCCGTCCAGGTCCCAAAGAGGTCGTGTCTGGGGGATCTGGATGGCCTGGATCAGTCTTTCTTTGGCTTCGTCCGGAGGCGGACGGATTGCATGCTCCATACCATCCCCCCCCGCCAAAAGCCGACGTGAGATCACCCTACTTACAAAAGGGGGCATCAAGATGAATCAATGAATCAAGTGGTCATCAGTGGTCATCCCTGGCGGTTGACTTCCTCCAAACAGATTCCACTTGAGGCCCGGACACCCAACGAAGAGCAAAATCCGAGAATTGCATCATATATCTTCATATTGCTTCTACAACCAATCCCAACCTGGTTCCACACCACCCCCAACAAGTCCATCAACAGCTGAATTTTCCGAACAGCTCCAACAAAAAAGGAAACCTCATCTCGCCCGCCCTCCCTCCAACTAACTAATTGCGCCCTGCGGCCTTCTCATACCTCCTCCCACCCCTTCCTCCTCCCCATCTGCGGTGCAGTTTAAACTGCCCTGCAACGCCCAAAACATCCACACCGCTACCGCGCGCCCAGGGCCCCTGAAGGAGGTTTCAGCGCTCAAAACAAAAGCGCGCTTTCAGCACACGGTACTTGATCCGCGCGAAAAAAGGGCCCAGGGGCCGATCCAAAAGAGTGGCATCCAAGCCCACAAGAAGTGCCTCACAACGGACGACGGTCGACCGATTCGTTCGGTCGTCCGATTCGTTCGGGCCGGTGTCGAACGAAAGAAGCACGGTCTCGGTGACGACGTGGCGAGGCCCCACGACCGCCACGAAGGAGCGCGTTGAATTGGACCGTTCCAAAAGGGGGACGGAGGCCATGTAGTTCACTCTGGATAGAAAGAATTGGAGATTGCCAACAGAGTCAAGATATGTCAACAGAGTGAACTACATGCCTCCGTCAAGATGTCCATCCAAGATATGTCAACATATCTTAGTTGAACCATTTGGAGTCGGAGTCGTCACTCCCGAAGGTCCGAGTGAGTCGGAAGGTCACCGGTCCAAACGTATGAAGTCGCCAAGTAGCGAAGCTGTAAACATGCCCTATAGGGCTCCAAGTGGGACTGGGGTGGGTGGAGGAGGGTCCAGTCATACCGAACCTGAGGAGGTACGACTGGAGCCCTATATAGGGATGGTCTATACCTTCATCTACCAGGACCCTCCAAGGGGTGTCCAATGGACTACCCCACACTACCTATAGGCTTCCATTGGGCACCTTCTATTTTCTCTACACCTCCAGTCGTACCTCCTCAGGTTCGGTATGACTGGACCCGAACATGGCACCCGGGCCCCCAGTCCCACCTTCGAAACGAAGGTACGACTGGAGGCCTAGGGTTTGATTGGAACCTGGTTCTTCATGTTCTAGTTTGATTGCGCGCAGTCTCCAAAACCTGGCATTTGTTCATGAAGAACCTGGTTTCCCACAAAAAGGAAACCCCCCAGCTCAAACGCGCCGAGAACAGGACGAGGCACGTGAGGTTGCAAACCAAGATCAGCAAACGGCCCCACCAGCGCATCTCATCCGGCCAGATCGAGCCGAAGCCGAGGCCTCGATGCTTGTGAGGCCGATCGGCCGGCGAGGCCCGTTCGGCCGAACGATGGGAGAGTGGGACAGAGTGGGACTGTGGGGGGCTTCGTTGGGAAAGAGCTTGCTGTTGGGATGTGGATCAAGACCCACGTGGCTCAGGTGCCAAAGTCCTTCCATGAATTCATTGGAAAGATCATCAACCTTTCCGGAACATGCTGGAGGTTTAAACGTCCTTCGAGTCTTCCTCTTAAGCTTGGTTGGTGAGGCCAAACGATGCCAAGCGGTTTGTTTCTTGCCCTAAACCTATCCACAATCATCCACCGTCCATTAAGCCCAAAGCCCAAAACATTAGGAGTGAAACAACACAACATCAGCCATCCTAAGATCATCACAACATGAGCTTAAGAACAAATAAACCCAGGTTGATTTGGTCTACCCTATCTCGAATCGACGTTCCATGCTGGCCGCCTCTTGTGGCTCTTTGCTCACATGGCCGCCTCTTCTACCACCCCCAACCAGGTGGCACCTCCTAGGTCGTCCACTGAGAGGTCTTTAAATGCACCGAATCCACAGAGGTCGACTTGCAGTCGCTCTCCGAGTCTCCGAGTGGTGTGGGGTGGTGCGAATGAACCCCCATCGGCCATGGCGTCGGTCCCGGTGTAGCTTGGGGAGATGTTTTCATGCCCAGATGCTGGAAGAATGCGACGGTCGCACATCCCTCTATACCAGGACCCATCCGTTTGAGGTGCCTACAGTAATTCAATCGCCTCTTAGAGGTGAGTCGGGGGTGTCCCAAAAACCACCGGACGAACGGTTTCGGTCCTGGTAGAGGATTCCTTCTTGGGATGGATTTGGGGGATGGACACTTGTTGGAGTTCATTGGTCGTTGGCCATGTCCAGCGTCCAGCCACCGTGCAAAAACCGTGGAGCTTTGACCCTGTCCGCTGGAAGAGTGCGAGAACACATTTGTCTAAAGAGGGAGAGAGAGAGAGAGGGGAGAGAGAGAGAGAGAGGAATAGCAGGTGAACGCACATGTCAAAGGATGTCCATGGGAGATTTGGGGTGGGTTTCTGATTCAACGGTGGGTATGTAGTGTTTGGTGGTCTCCCCCACTGGATCTGTTTAAAGGCCTTTAAGCACCTTGTCCCTTTTGATCCCTTAAAGGCCTTGCTTGACCCTCTCACACTTCCTTCAAAAGAAAGGAATTGCACAGTCCATGTGATCCCTACCCCCCTTCGAGCCTCCTTTGTTAGGAACAGGAACCATTGTTCTTCTCGGATCTCGGATCTTCTTTATATTCCTTGAGGGGGTCGTGTCCATGTGTGACGGGTTGACGGCAAGTGGTGCCCCTCCCAAGCAATCCAACGTTTTCCTCCCAGGTGGCAAATTCGCTGCACGAACTTGCAGGTCTCTGTGATGATGGAGATCACAAAGAGCACCAAGGCCAGGGTTGCTACCCAGACCTGAGTCTCCAGCTGGTGAGCGTCTTTGCTGGTCAACCTCGTTGCGGTCTGTGGATGTCTAATGAATCCAATGTGATGTCAAATGCAAGAGTCCTTGGAAACAGTTGAAGACATTTGATGTGGCTGTCTGTGAAAAAAATACTAACATCTGGGGACGCTATAACCATGCTATAACACCATGCATTTCAGTAGTTCATGAAACATTCCACAACCTTCATGTAGGGATTCGACCACAGACTCCGAACGTGCGGACGCCCCCAAGACACCGCCCGCGTGCGTGCGCCAAGACACAGCGATTTGCAAGGTGATGAGGATGAAGCCTCGCTGCGGTGGCACTTCTTGCGAGATGCTCAGAACGGACCTGGATTCGCCTTCTTGTCCGACCCGTAATGAACCCCGACCAGGATTGAGGCAATTATTTAGATCACCAGCTTGGCATATTGAGGTTGACACTTGCCAGCACCTAGAAGGAAACATGCTGAATCTTGACAGACAACATACTGTCTCAAGAACCTCCACAACACTCACTATTGTTACTATCTTCCATATAGTAGACTCTTGATTCATCAACCCCCTACAGGGAGAGGTGTTCGTTCGCGCATCCAATTGGGGTGGGTTGATTCATCAAAAGTCTACATGTTGTGTCATGCTTCGTCACATCAGCAGCCGGCAGCCGACCATCGATGGTCAACCATCCCATTGGCCCTGAAGACCGCCTGGCTCGCCCGGTGCATTACTTCGTCTGTCGGTCCAGGGGGGGATCCCCTTCTCCGGCCTTCTAAAAGGTCTTGGTCACACTCAAAGAGCGAACCTCAGTCGTCTCCGCAAGTCAGCGAAGCGAGCGAACCGCAGTTCGCTTCTGGTTTTCCGTGGATCCGAAGAGGGCTCCTGCAGCCAGCCAGGCCAAGCAGGGAGGTCGGCGCAGTCGGAAGTGCTCTTGGGTGTTTGGTTGCACATCCAAAAAGAAAGGCACCTCTCTTCTCCAGAAAAAGACGGAGCCTTTTTATACCTTCCCTGGAGGTCCTCACCCCCTTCTGGGGAGCGGGTCTTGGTCTTGGTGTCTTGGTCTGGTGGACATGGTGCAATAAAATCAATAAGCTACGTCTGATCGCTACTGCAAAAGCCTCTGATGCAAGAATAATAAGGCCGTGGTGTATGGCATTCCCGTTGCAAGGCCTCATGTGTTCGCACGTCGATGTTCACCTCTCAAGCATCCCATACTGCGCTTTTCCGAGCTCAATCCGCTATTCACCCAAGCCACCCAGCCACCCATGAAGAGCCAGGTTGCATCACCCATCCAACTAAATCCAACATAATCCAACTATATTGACGATAAGATCCACCACCACACAGCCTCCCAAGCAATTCTACGATGACATTGGAATAAAACATCAGAAAACCACCCATGGAAAGCCCACTTCCACCCACACACCCCAGAGGAAAGCGATTCAGAACGAAGAGGAGCGGTTCAAGACTTGGGCCACCTCTTCACTCCACGACCTCATCGATGGAACCACGTCTTGCCCGACCGATGAAGGCCGGACGTGACTGTCGTGGATGGAAGGAGTCAAGTCATGTGAACGAAATACCCGAAGTAGCAGACCGTGTGGATTCAGGGGATCATGTGGGATCATGATCAACATTGATATCAACAACTCTTCCACAGGATCAGTGGTTGTCCCCACATGGCATCTATATATCGGACCTTCGCGGCCTCTTCCAGGCCCAAGTTGGGCGGAGAGTGATGCACTATAACTATCCGCATTCTCTAACCTGAGCTAAGAATCAGATGACTCACCCATCATCACCACCCTCCCAAAAAAAGGGACCAAATAGTGCGAGTTCCAACTCTCGCTCAGTTTCCCCGCCCCGGCGCAAGCGAAAGGTGGTGGAGCCTCCCTCTCTCGCTCCCCCCCCTGGGAATCGACCATCGACCACAGCGGACCCGCCTCGCCGGCGACATCACGGTGTCGTAGACGTCCTCGCCCACCCAGCCCCATTCGACCACCTGAGCCACTCGGAGCAGCTCGGAAGCTCCGTCAGAAGCTCCGTCCCCGTGGGGGTTGGAGGGGGTCAGAAGCACCCACGTCTCCAAGAAATGAGAGGTTTTGCAGAGAACTCAGGGGTTCTCCAGGAATGAATGGGCCAACATGCCTTTGAAGGGATAGTCTTGGAAGGTATATAAACCGTTTAGGAAGGTCGGTCTCATCGTTCTCTCTCTGCGTTGGCGTCGCAGCGGGGGCGCAGAATGGGCTCAGCATCCATAACGGAACCCCAATCACTTGAGGCAGTTCACATCGCTTCAGTCAACTTGCTCCCAGAAATTCTCCCACCCGGCCCCATCTGGGAAGCATCTGGGCCTCAGAAGTGGACCACCTTTTCACTTCCGGCCACACGAAAACCTCCACAAAGACGCCACGCTTCAGCTCGGTCGCCACGAGCAGGTGAAGACCCCGCTCCTCCGCAACCCGCCAGGTGCAGAGAGTCTCACCGCGCCTGCCACTTGAGATCCGTCTTGGTGAGCAAGATGAAGAGGGAGGCGACGAAGAGGCAGAAGGCCAGGAACGTCGCCCACAGGCTCGTGAAGCCTAAGCCGCTCGGCGGCCGATGACCAAGGATGCGCGTGGTGACCGAGAACGGATGTGAGTGCGGATGCGAGGGTTGTGACCAGCGGTGGAGTGAGTGTTCTTGGTTCAGTTAGACATGTAGTAGAGAAATTAATGCTATCTAAGATTCTGAATTCTCAATATCCTGACAGCATATACTACGTAGTTGGCATCAACAAAGTCTGCTCTGCTGTTTCTGTTGCTGTTCTCACGAGCAACCTGAGATGCGGAATGAGGCTTCCAGGTAGTGCTGTGGAATGCCTGATGTCCAGCAGAAGATCCCAAAGTTATTGAAGCAATTCAACACCAAACCATGGACCAGCCAATGGAGACTCCCCAAAGGAACAAAATCCCTCCATTCCCCATGGGTCTGCTGGTCAATGGATCGAGGTGGAGGAATGGATCAACTTCGCTCTGTTCCTCTTCAACTGCACTGCTCCGCACTTGGTGATGGTTCGAGCCGGGGTCTGGCGTGCTCATCATGCCATTGCATACGACTAGGCAATACTATGTACTTCACAACAAAAGATATAAAAGTAAGTAGTACTTCATCCAGCTCAGGTGTGACAGGGTAAAGAAGGGGGCAGCTGCAAGTTGTTTACAATTCATGCGTTGCAACTGACTCGCATAGATGATGAAGGCATCTTCGAGGCTCGCACCAACCATAGAACCACTCACTCAATACTCCAAAGAAGGTCCGGTTCCAAATGAAACAGTCCTTTGGAGTCCTGCAAGGCATGTTCACTCACGCCAGAGTTTCGGAGATGATGTTTGCCCGCTGCGTTACACTGTCCGCTACACTGGAGGTTTCTGATGTGTTTCCCGTGGGCTGTGGGACCCGAAACCGGAGGCCACGAGGGTCCCGCGCCCACTTGTGCGGGCGCGCGCTACGGGCCGCGCGGAAGCTGAACCGGCGCGGACAGGGCGCCCGTGGTACACCGGAAGAAGCTCTGCAGTGAAAGCACGAAGTGAGCCTGGGAGACCCAGGCAGACCCAGACGAACCAGACCATGGGACCCAAGACCCACCCAGAAAAGGTCTGCAAGGGGTGGGGGGCCGGGACGTTCTGGTCTGCTTTTCGTTCTGGAACCCACATACCAGTCTGACTACGTATATATGATGAACTACTCATACCATCCGTGTATGGAAGATCGACCTACAGTGACCCTGGAAGATCGGGCTTGTTAGGGCATCGCTGCCAGTCACTCCTGAGTGGGTTTCTTTCGGTGCCAAGGGGGACCGTGAAAAGGAGCTCCATCATTACAGCTGCGCTGGGCTGCACTCCCATGGAACCCCAGAAGGGCGGTTCATAAGGCCAGCACTGGAGGCCCAGTTGGTCTTCACTCCATCGGACGGACTGCCGATCAGTTCGGGTGGTGCCAGGGGATCGATTGTGGGGCGGCAGTCCTAGGGCAGTGACCCTAACCGTCCAAGACCATTCTGAAAACGGGTGTTCGGGACGTTTCGGGAGAGTCTATTTTGGTGTTATGAAAGACCTCGAGATGTCAAATTGCCTCAACCCTTTCAGCCCTTGACATGGGTCATGCGGTGGGAGAAGAACATGTTCTCCTGCAGCCTTAAGTAGATGGAAAGGTCTGGCCACACATGATTGAAGGCCCACATGTTGGATGGGTGTGCAATGATTCCCGTGTCTCACTGCGTCTCACTGTTTTCTTAGAACCCATGGGTCCATGGGTTCACAACAACGGACTAGTCATGCACGATCCGCGGGTCGTCACTGGTCCATGGGACCATGCACTTCTAAGACCTGTTGATCGCTTCAGCCAGTGGCCGAAACACGCAGCTTGGACTAAAAGAATTTCTGATGGACATTGACATCCCGTGTCTTCCGAAACCATGTCAAAATGAGTGTCAACAAATGATGGAGCTTCAAACTCCAGTCCCCCCCAATTGCTGTTGGCACCGCGTACGCTCGTTCTCCCGCGTACGTTGGCCCGGAGGCACATCACCGGCGCACCGTCGACCGGGGCACCTGGATGCTCTTCTGCACCGAGACTAAGTGCTCCGCAGGCGTCTTGGCAACACCTCGGCGTATCTCGGCGTTGAAGCTCAGGTGGAGACTTCACCTACTGAGTAGGTACTTAGTACAAGTGTAAGAGGACAAACGATCTTGGGATTCGGATCAAACCCTTTGATGAAGGCTCACACATGAAACTGTGCATTTCGACTGCGCAGGCTCGCAGAATCTGGTTGGGCGTGGAGGGTGCTTCTAGCGACTGCGCTCTCAATGTGGTGCCGTGCGCATTTTCGCACATGGTGGTGACTTTTCGTGGCAGGCGCAAGGGAAACCTCGTGCTTTGGTGCTCCAAAGTCGACTTTTCGTGACAGGCGCGAGGGATCGGGCTGCTTTACTTCGAAAATGCAATTTTCGTGGCAGGTGCAGCACTTGCGACATGCTCAGATTTCGTGACAGGTGCAGTGAATCGTCACCTTTGGACATGTGGTTCGTTTGCAGATTTCGTGGCAGGCACAGCACTCTGCGACCCTCGATGTGCAGATTTCGTGGCAGGTGCAGCACTTTGTGAACCTCAAAGTGCAGATTTCGTTCCAGGCACAGCACTTGGTGAACCTCGAAGTGCAGATTTCGTGGTAGGCACAGCACTTGGTGAACCTCGAAGTGCAGATTTCAAGGCAGGCACAGCGCTTGGTGAACCTTGAAGTGCAGATTTCCTGGCAAGTACAGCACTTGGTGAACCTCGAAGTGCAGATTTCGTGGCAGGCACAGCACTTGGTGAACCTCGAAGTGTAGATTTCGTATCAGGCGCAGCACTTTGTGAACCTCGAAGCGCAGGTTTCGTGGCAGGCACAGCACTTGGTGAACCTCGAAGTGCAGATTTTCGTGGCAGGCACAGCACTTGGTGAACCTCGAAGTGCAGATTTCGTGGCAGGCGCAGTACTTCGTGAACCTCGAAGTGCAGATTTCGGCGCAGGCACAGCACTTTGTGCTCTCAGATGCTCGCTCTCTCACTCTCACTCTCACCACTCTCCACTCACACTCACACACAATCACACTCACTCACCACTCTCGCTCTCACTCTCACTCTCACACTCACTCTCCCACTCTCCTCTCACTCTCACTCTCCCTCTCCCTCTCCCTCTCACTCTCCCTCTCCCTCTCCCTCTCACTCTCACTCTCACTCACCCTCTCACACTCTCACTCACTCACTCACTCACTCACTCACTCACTCACTCACTCACTACCACCGCCACCGTCACCACGATCCGCATCTAGATCTCTAGACATTCTGCTTATAGACCTCACACACACTGTTTGGGGTCTCTTGCCAGGATAATGATTTATTCACTTGCTTGTGCATCTCGATGGAATTTCTATCTATTGACACTACAACTCATCTTCCCTTTCTGGGCGCTCACTGAGTTGGAGTCTGCGAGACCGCAGCGCCGCAGCGCGCGGTTTGCAGGTCCACGCTCCCCCATGACATATGAAGTCTCCATATGACAGAGAACCTTTCAGTTCTGACAGGACACGTTCTCCGCTCCAAAGATGAAAATATCTGCAGACTTCCCCATCCGGTCAATTTTTCCGACATATTGTAGCAGGAAAAGGAAGGAGGAACTCTCCTTTTTTGGACCTGTGGCAAGTTCAACAACTCATGGCGCCATCGCAGCACCTTCTCTGCGTAGCAAAAAATTGTCGTCTCGCGGACTTCGCGCGTGGATCACTTTGTCGGGCTGATCATGGACCCCAGCACGCTGCGTGAAAACACCAAATCGGGACAGCACTTGCGGGCCCAGGTCACCATCTTGGGGCAAGTCTTGCGAACTGAGCCAGGCTGGGAAAACTACACAACGAGTCCTCGATGAAGGGCCATTCCCAGGAGGTCCAAGGAACATCAGGGAACAGATTGGCCACCGACTTAACAACACTGTCCTGCGACACTGGTTGAGCGACCGCTCCAGGCAACCGCAGACCAATCATGACGCCCAACAGGAGACGACTGACTCGCCCCCGACTGGGAGGGCCGACCTCAGGGGCAACAACTGGGTCGACGCGTAGCAATTCGACTCCAAGATGTCTGCAGGGTAGCCACGCCTTGGAGCCTGAACAACCTCATAGCGTCGCCAGTCTCGCTCCACAATCGCTTGAATGAATATAACTCATGGCGTTGGCGTGCATATGCTGCAGATTGACCGAACGCCCAAGCAACTGATTGACCCGCAGCCCAGGATTGCCAGGCCTGGCCCCTTGCAGTTCAGCTTTTGGAAGGCGCCAGCGACCCGCGACCGGCCCGACCAGCAGGGCCGGATCGACGATCGAGCCGTGAAAGGGTGATCGTCAGGCCCACAAGTGACAAAAGGGATCCACCCTTGCCAGCTAACAACCGCTCTTGCGCATTGGCGACAAAAATGGTGTCAAGGGGTTCTGCAGAATCGTGAAGTAGCAACCTTGAATTTGGATAGTTTGAAGACCTTTGAGGAAGACCTTTGCGGAAGCATTAGCAGGAAACTGTACGTTAAACTAACTATGAATGCGCAGCACCCGAAGAAATATCTGCATCTCCAGGAACCCAACGAAGAAATCAACATCTGCAACTGCAACTCGCTCCATCTCGCCAGTAGGTCTCTGAACATATACTGATGTCTATCCAATGCGAGGTCTGATACTCCACCAGTGTTGTGGGTGCAGGATATCCGATCTGTTCCGCGGGTGTGGTGATTTTTTCGGTGACCAATTAAGACATTAAGACCGACTCCCTTAATCTAGAAGCACAATGCTGCTGAATCAAAGATTTCACCCATCATCCGGGAATGATTGTTAGCCTCTGCACTCCTGAGTGGAAGCATGATCAAAGGAACTGGAGCGTCGAAACGGAAGAACATGGTATACGAAAATCATGTCATGCAACTGTGTGAGATTGTGTTAGAAGCGGGGTCAACCATGGGGGCATCAACTGAAATCGCCCCTCAGCCTCTCCAAGAAGCTATATTAGGGTTTGTTGTTTTTTAAGGTTCCCGGGCCGGGATGTTTGACTATGGGGTATGCTTCGGAGGTATGCTTCGGGGGTATGCTTCGGGGTATGCTTCGCGCAGTGTGAAGACTAAAGTAGTAGCATTTCCAGAGGGTATGCTTCAGGGTATGCTTCGGGGGTATGCTTCGGGGTATGCTTCGCCTAAGTCGAACATCCCAGCCCTACATAAACTGGACACCTTAAAAAAAAACAAACACGCCCATATAACCCATATACTTCTTTCCAGAGGCACTCCGTGGTCCACTTCCGCCAGTTCCGCCAGTGCTCCCAGCGACTCAAGATGGGACCTCTTTCGCCATGTAATGCGCAATTGTAATTACATACCCCCACCCCTGCCAATATCCGCTCATGCATCGTAAGCCCAGACCCCTTTTTATGCCCACATAAGCCTATTGCCCACCCATTGTCATGTTCTTGGGCCAGTGGGCGATAGGCTAAAAAACAGCTTTTTCCATGGGCCTATCGCTCACCCATGCTTCTTGTTTTGTGTGAGCGCCAACGGCAGGTTCGGGTCCCAGCGGCCATAGGACAGGCGTCGGCCTCGGGGGAGCACCGGTCCGGGGCGCGCTGTGCGGCGGCTCCGGCCCAAAGGGACGAGCCGTGGGGACTGGCACCCGGCTCCCGGGCTCTCCGTTGACCATTGGACAACCCGACCGGAAGCTCCAGGTATGAGTTCTACAAGTAGATCGAATACCAGGACCGACACCTAAGAGGTGTCTATATGTCCGCCTCGAGCCTCGAGGTGAGGAAGGAGGTGTCCCCAAAAGCCACCGGACTTGGAAGGTGCTTTCTACCAGGTCCATGTCCTCATGTTGCTGGCCAGGGTCATGACAAAAACACGGCTTCAGGAGGTCTTTTGACCAGGTTTAACTGGACAGTTTGTAGGAATATGTGTGTATACTGTATACAGCAATTGGATAGAACATTGGGGAAGTTTGATTGGTCAATGTGGCTGTGAGTCAAAAGCTTTTCCACCAAACCCTTGTAGGTTGACATGCCCTTTCTTGAGGAATCTGTTCCTTTTCAGGTGTCCACCAGGGTCCCCAGTACTGACCCACTGCCATGTAGGTGAACAAACACGCCAGGACTCGCCAAGTACTCCTCCATCGCCGGCGGTTCTTGTTTTTTCTGTGGTTGGCCGTTGATTTTTCTTCGTAGATGGGGTCAAGAGGAGGTCCCCGCAGAGAATGACCTTCATCCCACAAAGGTTATAGACTCTCCCATAGGTACCCCCGGGTGACAGGTCCTATTTACGGCTCACTTCACCTCTGTTGGATGTGAAGAGACCACCCCCCCTGGCACCACCCCTGGCCGTTTTGAAGGCAGTCCGTCCTGGCAGTCCCAGACAGGGTCGTCGACAGGGTAGGTCCATCTCGAGCTTCCGGGGACCGATCCAGTTCAAACGTGACCGCCCCCACGTGTGGTATGTCACTGCCCTACTACAGAGCGGAAAAAACGCCCGGTAGGAAGAGAAGCCCTGTAGCGCCAGAGGCAGTTGAGATCTCGGACATACTTCTCGGTCACAAACACACCGACTCTGATCGACCCGACACCTAGAAAAGCAAACGACTTAGAAGAGACACTCCCAAAGAGGTCACGAGACTAACCGCACAGGTCCTGGGTAGTTTTTGTTTGGGCTTTTGTGAGATGCGGCTAGATGTTGAGTGATGTTTCTATTGGCTTAGATAGATCATTCTATAATTCCATAATATCAATGTCCAATGAAGTGGGAGTCTTCACCCGGATTTCTGATGCCTTGCACAAGCCAGCGGTCAAGGCAAGCCAGCGGAAGTGCTCCGACCACTGCTGGTGGATGACCACAACAGTTTGCCACAGAAGCCATCCCTTCAGGCGATGGTGGAAGTTGGATCTCTGTGGCAACAGAACGTGACTCAAATTATACTGGACTATAACAAGTCCGTGTTCCCCCCCCACTGCTTGGCCGGTGCCCCAGAAAATTGATACATGTTTGGATCTCGAAGACAAGCCATCTTCTTGTCCTATAGAACCCCATTTTCTCCCCCCCCACAGAAATTCAATCGTCCACAGCTCCCCACCGGCTCCACGGAGCCCTGCACGGTGGCCATCACAGCTCCCATCATCAGTCGTCCAAGTGGCTAATGAAGTGTGAGCGTTTCCCTCTCACCATCCTTAGTGCACTAGGGATCCAAGTACCTTCTCAGAAGGTACGACTGAACCCTCCAAACCCAGTTTAACAGTGTCTCCGTCCTCACCGTACCTGAGAAGGTACCTGCAGGATCCCTAGGGGTGGAGCTGCACATCCACATCATCCACCGTCTACAAAGGCCGAACCTGAGATCTGAGGGGCAACCGGCAAGTTGCCGAGCGCTAAGACCAAAAGGACCTCTGCACGCTGCCGGTTTGACGTGGTCTGGGAAGACCCATGGCCGGTGTTTCTTCCGCCACTGAGGCGTTCGGTCCTAAAACGGGGCTGCTGGCCTCGCTACGAAGGGAGCCAGTATAGCGAAAAAGGTGCCAGCGAGCTCGAGTGCGTGGACGAGCAAAAAGAGGAGCACGCGTTCGAGCGGGACTTCCAGGGTCATGTGTCCCGCCTCTCGCTTGACTAGATGAAACCAGAATGAGTCCCCCCAGAACTCCAAAGACCTTTGACTCCTTGTTCAGGACATGTGAATCTGACTCCTTCTGATCATGCATCATCGTAATTGTAACATTGTAACAAATTCATCTAGCATGTCCAAACAAAGATCAAACAAGTTCAGAATGAACAAGCTCTGTTTCCTCTCACTCACCTGCTACCCGGCTCTGCACTTTCTCGCTTCGTTCGCGCATAAGCGCCGCGGCTAAGGATCTGCTTGAGACTGCCCGCGGTGTCCTCCGCGGCGCAGTTCTCTGGGAAGGTCCTGGTCTCGATGTACTCCTGGCCGTCTCCGTCTTCTTTTTGGCGCGCGGAGTCCCTGCAGGTCCCGGTGGGGGTCGGTGCATGTTCTTGTGGATTCAAAGGTCCGAACGAAAGGGATTTCGTCAGATCTTCAACCTACATGTATTGGCCAAGTAAAGGGACATCACCAGGGACATCCCCAATTCATGTCGTCTTTGTTCGTCCGTTCTTGCTACTTCCATCTACTTCCAATAATTAGCCTGAGGTCTCCCTATTCATTCAAAGCACCCCCCCAACAAACATGGTGCTTTCTCTGGCAAAATCAGAACACAACCTTGCGCCAGCCACGCCCTCCACAGAAACGTCCACGAGCCACGCCCTCTGCAGAACGTCTCCGTTCACCGAACGGACCACGTCGTCTCCTTGTGCTTGCGCATGGTGTTTCGATCTCGGACGCGCTGCTTGGCCAATTCCCAAACTAAGCCTCGGGAAGAGCACGCAACTCTTCAGTCCGTCCGAGGCTACGGTGCGTCCGCTCGGTGTCCGCTCGGTGTCGGGCTGGCGAGGTGAAACGCTCCAACGGCTGGGGCCAAAAGAAGGGAACATGTTCTTCACGGTCCAGCCTATATATCACCCCCAATTGGCTCACGCAAGCGGAGACTGGTTTCAAGGTGATTTTTGACTACTACCCGCGCTGCTTGGCCAGGCCCCCCCTCCGTTTGCACATGTCCATGTGCACCAGTTGAAAAGAATATGATGAGGTCAGCACTACGTTGCTCGAGCGCGAGGATTGGTGTATTCCCGCAGGTGAAGACTGATATTGACTGAGCCAGGCCCCAATAACATAACTTAGAGTTTCCACTGCCAACAGAGTTCTCAACTTCATCTGAGAGTCCTCCACTCCTCAACATGTTCGAAACGTGAAACGTTTCACGAGAACGTCCGACCGATGTGACCCGCTTCTCTGCTTGGAAGTTTTCATGTCCAGCACGTCGGGACACAGCCACCTTCGATCCAGTGGTCTCTAGCACAGGGGCTGTCAGGGAAGACCTGGATATCCAGTGCAACTATGCACACAGCATGTCCTACCATGTTCATCAAACCAACCAAAAAAAAGGGGAGGGCAGAAACAGAACGTGTTGCCAAGCAGTTGGAAGAATCCTGGATCCCGACGTCGACTCTATTGGCCTCGACCCGACCTCAATCACGCGCCAGGCGACTGTCAGGGCCTCGATGGATCTTCCAAGTGCTGTTGGTGCCATGGCCACTGACCTCGTGCGCCAACACGCCGCGGCGGCCAAGTGCAGCGCAAAAAAAAGGTGGAGGTGGAGCGACGGTGTACTCCCATGTACTCCCAAATCTGCCGGCGGGGGCGGGCGGTCGGGCGGTGGACGAAAAGAAGAAGAAGAAGAAGAGGAAGAGGAAGAGGAAGAGGAAGAGGAAGAGGAAGAGGAGGAAGAAGAAGGTTGTCGAGGAAATCATGGAGGTCGTGGCGGTCGTGGGGTTTTGACAAGAAAAGATGTGTTTGTGAGATCGTTTTTGTTTGTGAGATCGAGATGTTTGTTGGGAATTGAATGGCCCTCTTTGAACCCCAGCCACCCCAGCTTTCTCAAGTCCGATCCGGAGCGAAGTGTCGAGCATCGCTCGACCACGCGCAACACGGTGCTGTAAGAAGTGCATGTGGAGACGCCTGCTGTAGCAATTGCATGGAAAACTCTGTGCAGGACCCTCTCCGGAGTTGTCCTGTCCAGAAAAACCTCTTCTAGCTCCAGTCTTGATACATCTTGATACCATGCCTGGCCTCCAAACCGAAAAAACGGAACCCCCCCCACACAATAAGCTACTAGGAACAAGCTGGGAACAAGCTGCCCTCATGAACCTTCTCCGAGCAACGCCGCCACAGCAGTTGTGGATCATGCAGTTGAGCCGGAAGAACTGGGCGTCGTTGTTGTCCTTGGTGCCGCTGCCGGTCGGATCTGGCCTGCCGCATCCACAAAGGTGAGTGATCAAGTGGTCTAGACACCAGCCAGTTCGGGTGTCTATGACATCCGCACCCAAACACTCCATGTATGCCATATCATATATGCCTACATTGTTGGTTTGGGGGGTCAATGTAATAAGCATATATATGGCATACATGGAGTGTCTGTTGTCCCCGGGCCAGGGGTGTCCAATTCGAGTTCCCTAGAGGTGATTCGGGATGTCCATGAAAACCACCCTTTAGGGGGGGGAAGGCCCTGGTTCGGTCCATCTAACATTAAGGAACGATAGTAGCACATCATCAAAAGTCCTCGTGGATGATTGTGGGCATCAAAAAGAAACGAACAAACGATGTTGAGTGCATGTTGTAACTCGCCCCTGATTCGTCAATGGTGTTGAGTTCTAGCGGAGAAAGTGAACTGACGGATGGTTTCAAACCACCCGCAAAATACTAGTACTGTTGTTGGCTGTTGGGTTGTTGAACATAAACCTGGGCGAAGGAATGCTTTGAATAGCGATCATCGTCCCTTTCTCACCCATGTTCGGCCGAGGAGCTAAATAGTCTGCCCGGTCCTGTCAACGAGAAGATGTGTCAGTGTCCATGTGTGGGAACAACAACTTGACATATTCTGACACATCACAGCATCGATAAGTCAAGATCATGAAGAGCAAGCACACTCGAAACCTACTATAACAACACTCCTACCAGCTGCTTCCCAAAGGTCACCAATGCACAATACCGTTGTCACCCTACACCACTTCTAGTGTCCCCGTTGGACACCCCGACCAGAAGCAGCGCTAGGTCCACAGGGTGCGATACCGTGCGTCGGACGTCTGCTTCGCCACTTCACCGGCGCCCGTCGAAGGACGGGTCCGGTCCCGGTCCTGTACGTGCGGAAAGTACTTGGGGCACTGTGCGAGTCCCACGTTGGGGTTGAGATCTCCGTAGTAGTCGAAGAAGTACGGCACCGTGGTGTGGAAAAAGTCCTCGGTGTGGCGGAACGTGCGCGTTCTAAAAACCCGTCGCTTCGCTCGAAGGGTCCTTTTGGCAGTGAAGAAAAGGCACCGGCGCCGGTGCTTTTTGGGGGACATCATCGGTGTACCGTAGCCCATACACGACTAATGGGACTGCCATCGGACTGCCACCCCATTGACCCCCCAAACACCACCCCTGGCCGTTTCTCGGCAGTCCGATGGCAGTCCCATGATCATGATTGATCATGACATGGAGTGTACTAAAACCATCTAAAACCAGCCAAGCTGAACCGGGAGAACCGCGATGTCTAGCGCCCCCAACGCCGCTCGGTCGCAAGGAGAACCGGGAGCTCGACGTCAGGCCGTGCGCGGGCGTTTTTCCACTCATCCGAAGACAGCCCAATCAGCTCGGCGTGGAAAGGAACATGAAGGAACTCTGGCCCAAAACGGAGAGGTGGACTGGTGAGGGGACCGGTTTGGCAGTCATTTCATGGGCTGCCCTCCACCACTTAGCACACAAGTTGTGGACTATTGAGTGTAACCGTAGCAAGTAATGCCACTATTACCAGTCGACTAGAGTCTAGTGGCATCTTGCTTGTACATGATTCTATAGGATACTCTAGGACCATTCCCATCCAACTCGAAACCCATGCCAAGCCCACCCCTCCTCGGAGCACCCCCCTCCTCGACCGACTCCAAACCTCCCAACACGCCCCCGTTCCACGAGTGGCGGTTTGAAACTGATGGCGCGCGTCGCACACGCTCAGCAACGCCGGCGCCGTATCCTCGGCGCCCAGACCGGACGAAAGGCGAAGGCCGAGAGAGAGAAGGACGGCAGTGCAGGTGAGGACCTAGGACATATGACATGCAACACACCCTAGTAGGTCCTCAGAAGGTATCTGGACCCTCTCAAGGAGCCCTAGAAACACACACTGGAACAAAAAGGCTTGTCCTGCCCGTGCTGTCTGGATGGTGCGCGCTTCTAATCTCTCATTTAACAGTAGGCTTCTGGCGGATACAAATAAATCTTTGTGGCTCCCAGAAAAGTAGACATCATGGAAACATCACTTTTGACTTAAAGGAAACTCGTCTTCAGAACCATTCTCCCCGACCGAGTTCTTCTTGGGGAGGGCTCTTGGCTCTTGTTTCAGGACGCAGCCTGGTCTGAGACCTCACGGACCTTGTGCCATGACATCTTTCAAGGTTGTCCTGTATAATAATGGATCTTTTGATGTCTGGATTCTTTTGGAGTGGGATGCGGATGGGATACCTCTTACCAGGTCGTCATGCACCGTTTCCGCATGTTCCCTGGACAATTGCTTGGAGGTTCAGTATCCCGTCCCAACCGCGCCTCGAGCGCATCCCGACCCCGACTTGGGCACGGTGGAGCTGACTTAGGCTTCCCAGTGTTGGTTCACTTGGCAGCATAGCTGATCATCTGCGGTTCACCCCAGATTGCCAGTCCTGCTTCAGTTCCCAGTGCTGCTGTTGTTTTGGCAGAAAAACTGGCAGGATACTGGCGCTCTTCCGGGTTCAGAAGCTCCAGTTGTGTGATGTGGGTGATGTGGGGGATGAGAATTTCGGCGGATGCGACGGAGGCTACCTCACGACTCTTTGCCCAACATATCCCAACTGGTGCTTGGAAGATTGCTTCGACGCTGTGGGCTAACGACCTTTTTGGGCCCGATCAAAGAATGGACCAGGTAGGTCAAGCAACCTCATGGGAGATCCAGCTGTTGACTGCTGACCCATGTTGACGCACTCTCTCGATGGTTTTGAATCCCAAAGACTCTCGAGTCGCCATAGAGGTTCTCCATCCGCGAAGAGTACCTTGCGACCACGGCAACCGCGAGAGTCCCAGGAGGCGTACTCGACGGCATATGACGAGGACTGGACGGACGTTCACGGATGTTGAAAGCCGGGCAGAAAAGGAAAAAAGAACGATGGGCTTCCAGTGTTTGAGGGACAGAACGGAGTTTGTGAGTTCACACATCTGTCAAATTCAAGAATTCTTGCCAATAGTTGCTATTGACCTTCACATAGTATCCCTAGCTAGCAAGTGATTGCCCCTTACAACTATAATGCAATGGAACTTGGTCAACTTCAGCTTCTCCCCAAAGCGGAGAGCAGATACGAAAGCAGCACCTCCGGAAAACAGCGAGCCGTCTGATCCTCCCAGTGGCTGGAAAAAGTAGTTCGCCGCAAAATTGAGGCATCCTCGTGGCCAGAGCCGCTTGTACCGGCAACCAAAGCAAGCGGTTGCCAAAAGACATGGTCGACAGGGATGTCGACAGGGGTGGAAATCCCGAACTGGCTCAGCAAAACGAACTGGTCGACATCATAGAACCTAAAGACATGGCGGTCCAGGGATGCCCTTCGGGTCCTCTGCGGGAAAAAAAAAGATCTGGTGACGGGCAGGATCCGCTTCTTCGTCAGGTGTCTTCAGGATGAGGTTTCCTCACCTTCGCTTATCTTCCCCATGTCCATCTCCTCAACCTGACCCTCCAAGCATTTCAGGCGGCACGAAAATCACCATCCAACAGCTGGTGAAAGGACGAGTGAGACAAACCTCTCATAGATAGTGGATTGAGAGGACCAATGGCACAGACCCCAAATGTCGGTGGTTTATATTAACCCCCATGTTTTCAGGACATCTTGAGGTCTGTGCCATCTACTTTGAAACCACTGCAATATACACGACGTCCAAACAACTCATAGTTTTTCCTTGACGTAGCACACATGTAGCCCATTGGCACCAACCACCCCAAGGAAGTGGGCCTCCTATATCACCCCTGACGGCTCCCTGTACATCCCCCAAACAGCTGCTATAATCTGGCTATACCTCTCACCACTCCACAAAACCTCAAACCCTCCGGAAGACGCCCCGGGCGCACAACACTCGCCCCCAGACCCCTCCACACTGCCAGCGCCAACACGCGCAAACGCGCGCCCGCGCGCGCGCAAACGCGGTGCCGACGCGCGCCCGCTCCTGCGGTGCCCCGGCTGGTGCGGAGCGGGATCTGAACCTTCATCAGATCTGTCTCTTCGATGCCTCCGCGGCTTCCGGCTGAAGACGTCGTGGTGGTCTGTCTGGGCGGGTTGGTCCTTTTTGGGGGGAGGGAGGAGGTGCGGCGGGTGGAGGTCAGCGGAGCGGTTCGGTTCCTGGTGCTGTGTACGGAAGAGAAAGCAAGGTGAGGTGGTGCCACGTAGGCTTGGGGTGTTTAGGGGCAACCAATATGATGAGTCAAACATTGTAATTGTACAATTTAAAGGTATCGTATGATGTTGAGAACTTCACGATTTCAGGCACCCATCCAGGACATGTCGAAATTCACCATTATCATCATCACTTGGCTAAACATCAAGATGGATATTCAAGCCCAACAACTGGATGTGTTTGACGAACCCGTGGAACATGGTGTCTCAGCTGTCTCCCAAAAAGACATCCTTTCACCAACCGGTGGGACTGGAAGCCGCTGGAAGTCCTCTGCCACCCCATTGAGCCCTGAAATCAATGAATCAACCACCTGAAGTGGGGAATTTTTACTATAAATCTGTATACAGTAATTTTCATGTGCTGTGCCAAACATGGATCGTCTAGGGATGTGTAGGGGGTGGATTGTCATATTATCATAATCATTCTGAACAGTTCAAATCTGCGGGTCCAAGCCACAAAAACCAACAGTGTTGGCACGCCACACATTGTGGTGACGATCGCAAAAACACGCCCAACCTCTTTCTCACACCACGGGACATAGACCCGCCCACCCCACCCCACACGTCTGTCTCACACCGACCCGCCCACCACACTCCCACACGTCTCAGTCACCCCACACGTCATGCGCACGCACGCACGCTCCGTGCGTCGCACCGCGCCGCGTGTTCGGAACCACCGCGGGGACACCGCGCCGAGACACCGTGCAGCATCTCCACCGCCCTTTGTCGGGCGCTTAACCACAACTCATTTCCGCTGCCCTGCGGCACCTCCGCGGTGGCGGAAGGAGTTGCATCCGATCTCGGTTCGGATGCATGGCCCCCAATGCAGTGCTTGTAATGGCCCCCAATCCCGAAGCAGAAGTGTTTTGTTAAGGACTATGTTGTATGATGTTGTACTACAAATATCTAGGTCAATGAATTGTTCAATCGTCTTTGAAGGCTCAGAAAAGTCGGTAGTACGAGCTCTTGTTCCCATGCTCTATTGCGCTCTGGGTGAGGTGACTGCTCTACCCCGGCCATTCGATGTTTCTGGCTAATAAAGAGAGTCAAAGGGTTTTTTTCAGAGGAACGAAGCCTTAGCGGCATTGAGTTGGAAGGTCCAGGCGACGGCGGATCCAGTCGAGGTAAGTCTGCAAGGACTTGCATGCACCAGGACCTTCCACTCGTGTCATCTGAAGAGGATTGGTAGAACCGTGACCTGAAATCAAGGCCTTACTTCGTGACCTCAGCCGCCACTGGGATCTCAAGGACGGTCACGAACGGTGTCGGTCCTGGCATCTAATTGCGGTTGGTTTGGCTCTCGTGGTGGTTCTTGAAACAGACTTTCAGGTGCCCAAAACCTATTCAGATCCGTGGAGTACTTGCGAAGTCGTATACGCCGTGTGAGGCCGCTGGTAGGTCAGAGCCCTGCTTCCTCTCACCTACGTATACCAGCGGCCGTCTGGCCACACCGCAGGGCCTACCCCCCGCATCGAATCCCAACCGTGGTGGGAGCGGATCCTGGCCCTTCCGGGGGCGTTCCCTTGGAAAGCCTGCTGTGGGTCTTACCCATCCAAACCTCCAGGGTCGACCATGAGAGGTGGAGAAAAAATAGACACCTCCTGTTCTGCCGAAGTTCTTCCATGCAACAGGTGGGGGAGAAAGGATACTTTTGACGAACACTCTCCCAGTCCTGGCTTCTTCACAGCTGACAGTTCCTGCCCTTTGTCGTGCCGGCCTCGTAGTACCAGGTACCAGGTGCCACGTGCTGCGTCTTCCTGGCAAAGAACTCTCTCTTTCGGAGCCCGGCTTCATCGACTTCCAGCAAGGGCCATGAACTGGATCAAGAAACACGAATCATCGACACACTGACGAACACCTCACATGAGAAGTGGATGGCATGGTCCCGAAAGGAGGACTGCTTTTACCTACAAATGGTGGTGACCTCCACTTCCATGTGATGAATTCGTCGGGGTGTACCACCTTCTTCACTTTGTGTCCTTTTTGGAGCCCTTACTGTGACCAGGCCATCGTCACCAGGTTCCAACCTGCGGGTTCTTCAACCCAAACCATCGGATGTTCTCCTTCAACGTGCCGAAGTTCGGCTTCCGACGTTGGGAGTCGAAGGAGGAACGGGACCGACACCGGAGCATCTTTGAACAAATATCCAGGACCGACCCCGTTTGAGGTGTCTATGTCCATAGCCTAGAGTCTAGAGGTGAGGAAGGGGGTGTCCTGGATGTTATTGGATGTTGTTGGGTTAACATCGTTGAAGCAATGATATCTGGTGGTTGATCTCCCAGTCCCTTTCTGGGCACTGAGGCACTGTGACTTCCTGGTTCCAAGCGACTGCCCGAAGGGCTAAGAAGAGCATCCCAAAGTCTTTTGTTTGAAAAGTTCATCTTCAACCTCAATATTTGCCAATGATCAATTCAAATCCGGTTTACCTCCCAAAACCAAGCCCAAAGGCCCAAAGACATTCCAATGATGTGGAAGCCTGATAAACAATGTTCATATGCTTTCAGATGCATTGCTTCCAAATGACACCGTGTACCTCTTACCTCCTTATGGCGCAACGTCCGATGGCGCTTCTAGCGCGGGTTCACCCGCGGGTCGGGTGCCCTGGATGAGGAGCCTTTTGTCCGAACGGGTGGAAGCTGGACGAAGACTGAGAGAGGGTCCTTCGAGAACTCAGAACGATGCCAGAACTCAGAACTCCTCCCTTCTTCGAACTCTGAACGTCTTCCAAGCAAGATGCTGGTGGGTGGCCCAGACACCGACAAAAACAAGTACCCAGACGCGACCCTGGGCCCTCATATGGAGGGGTCGGACCCTCATATGGAGGGGTCTGGGGTCTCAAATCCCTAGGTTTTGAGGGACCAAGGGCTGTTTGGAGCGTCTGGGAAACACATATTGGCATATAATTGGTCTGTTACTTCGTGCTGTTTGTTCAAAGAACTTGGCCAAAAAAGTGCAAAAACCACATAAAACAACTCCCTAGGGCTCCCAGATCTATCCTCAGGTTTGGTGGTTAGACCCACTGGCATCCACCCCAACCATCTTCTCAGCAGTTTTAGTTAGAGCCATAGGGACTCTCCAAGAATTCCCAGATCTCTCGTCAGCCACTGAGAGCCCCCCACAGTGTCCGCTCATCTTCAGGCGGACTGGCGCGGGCCACGTAATGCAGCCGCAAGGCCAAACCTGAGAAGAGACACCGTCAAAGGAAGGACTGGATTCGATGTCTGGATTTTGTTCACCAGGGATGTTGAAGTGGTTTCGAGTCCACTTTGTGCATCCTTTTCGCAGACTGCCCACTGCCCACCAAAAGCAAAGAGTTTGCTAACAGGACCAAGCGCCTACCGGGCCCTTCTGTCAACAAAACAGCTCGCACGCCGCTACAGCAGTGAACACCCACCACGCTAGTGACGGCCGCGTTTTCTCGTCTTCGCCTGGCGCCGGCCTCGGCCGCAAGCCGAGGAGCTATTGGTGTCGGTGGGAAGCCAATCCATCAGTTCGTCCAGGTACCACTTCTTCTTTTGCACTCCTCAAACCGCCCGACCGCGCAGCCACCGCGACCCTTTTCCACGCCGGTTCGGCTCGGCCCGGGTTCGGGAGAAGACGGTTCGTGCAGCATGATGCTGCAAATCAAGATGGTTCCTTTACAAGATGGAAATCACCGGCAAGATCTTACATGCTGGTGATTTACAAGATGAGACTGGTGATTTCCATCTTGTAACTTAGACCAAGCGAAGCAACCTCTCAGGGCCTCTCAAGATTAGACGCCAGCCGGCCAAGCCCGAATCAGACTCTGGACGAAGAGCCGTTTACCCCAGGTTCCCTGGTGACGAAAGAGCTTCTCACCAGATCCCTATAGGGATCCAATCGTGCCTTCTCGGAAAGGTGATTGGGTCTCCACTGTGATGTTCTGAGAAGCTACGACTGGATCCCCACCCAGACCTCGTCTGTCACGTCCACCTCCACGGTCACCCGCTCGAAAAACACGTCGCGCTCGCTCCTGGCACCCGAAGCTCCTCGTGCAAGTCGGCGATGGCCTCGTTCGCGCGAGCGCGCGCGCGAGCGAGGCGGGAGGGTCTGGAGGCCCTCCCAGGTCGACCCAGCGATCGGGGCGATCGGGGCTCTCCCATTAGATGGACACGTCATGAGTATTGCGGAGCACAGAGGCAAGAGACATGGGTTCCATGTGCAAAAGACATCTCAAAATCTGTGGACCCAGGAGTCTTTCTTGGAGTCTTGGACACTTACTGTAAGTGGATCTTCTGGGCATCCCTCTGAGGTTCTCACCCAGCCTATGGATCTTATGGTCGTCGAATTTCTCCAAAGATAGGAACTCCATGTGTTTATTATAGCTGTACTGTACCCTGTGGGGGTTCATGTCACTTCACGAACTCCCAATGGAGATGGATTGAAATGCACCTGATGAATCCCCCAGCAAATGAGGTTTTATCCATCTTCGAACACTGCACCATGGTGTATCAGGCGTTCCATCATTTTGAGATATATATTTGGATATAAATACTCATCGGGTGACATAGAACACTGCCGAATGGCTGGTGAGTGCAGAAACTGCGAAACATCGATATACTCTGAACATCTATCACTCTTGTACGAGTAGAAGGCGTTTTCTCCACATGACATAGAATTCAGCTGGTTGGACCATCGGGATTTTCCATATCTTCTACCCGGGGAGTCAAAGACTATAAAAAGAATGGTCTTTAGGGGAACTGAAAGGGAACTTCCTTCGGTCAAAAAATAGTCTTTGGACTTCTAGGGTCTATATATGTCTATAGTGGCCTATGCGAGTCGATGGTTGGTTCACGGTGGAACCAGATTCGTGGACTCGAGAGGTTACATGTTCACCCCAAAACCACCGACGACCTTCGGGCCGGCCCGCGCAACTGCGGACCTTATGGGCCGTCAGACTTGAGCTCGAGTCAAGCGCTCAACTCAGCGTTTAAAAAAGGAGTACTGTGGCTTCTCCTCCCCGTGAATAGAGGAAAACGGGTTGTTTGGGGCTGATCCAAGCCGCCGTTTCCAAGTTCTCCACCGACAAGACCTGCCAACCGAAGTTGATCTTCAGCTTCTTCAACGCGGTCTGCCGCGCCGAATCCGCCAACGGACTCCGCGGAGCTTTCTGGGTTGGACGAAACGGACTCCGCGAAGCCGGCGAAGCCCCCCGTGCCTTCTGTGGGGGTTGAAAGATGGGAGAATCCCAACACATGTTAATGTTGATCATGGTTGATAATGTTGATCTATAGAATCTATAGAAACATGAAAGATGGTTGATCCATGTTGATCATGGTTGATCTATAGAATCTACAGCATCGGTTTGGTGCTTTGGTTCTGACCCAGTCTCTCAATGTCTCTCAATGTCTCTCAGTTTGAACATCTTGGAACTTGTTCACCCTTTTATGTTTCTTCGCGTCTGTACTCATACTGGCAATGAACCTACAAAAAGAACCAAAAGCGGATGACTTATCATGGACTGGAACTAAATATACATGTTCAACTGGAATGCCACAAGAATGTCCAAAAGCAGGTGACCCATAATAACAATCGCATACAATAGCTATAAATCTGTATAGATGGCCCTGACGATCCATGACCACACATAGGTCACAAATAGAAATGATCTCAGGATATGCATACGTTTCTATTGATCGTGTTATTTGAAGACGTTGTCGAATCACAGATTGGGGTACCTGAAATGTATATACAATTCCAGTATCATTGTCGGAGGATAAGACCATGAAATCCCAAGAACCAAGCATACCAGGGCGTGACGAACCGTGACAGACCGTGACAGACCGTGATTGGTCTATTTTGTCCCTTTAAAAATGAGGTCATTGTCGGACTCCAGCGTGACAACCCGTGACGAATTTAAATTTGGGATCGTTGGTTTTGTGGTTTTTGGGTTCTGTGGTTTTGTGGTTTTTGGGTTCTGGTATGATCTCGTTTTTTGAGGTCGGACCTCACAGGGTGAGGTCGGAGAGCCCCAGAAGACACAACCCCAAATGTTAGCATATAGAGCTAACTTTCGATCCTCAGGGAACTATACTTGTTCCATCTTTTTCTTCAATCTCCCCCAGCTCACCTCACCCATCACCGAGTCACCCCCACCTCCACCCTCCACGCGCAATGCCGCACCGACCCTCCATCCGCACCCATCTCCGCGATCTCCGTCCACCGATCTCCGGCCTTGCCGCTGAGGCAGTCGACGGTCTTCTGGGAGTGATCTCCGTACAAGTTCTCCTGGCCGCGCAGCGAGAGCGCAGCCGGACGAGAGGACGCAGCCGCGACGCCTCCGGGCGGGCACGGCAGTCGGACACGGACGCTTTCCGGGTGCGGCACGGTGGAGCACTGGAGGAAGTCGGGAGGGAAAGGAAAGTCGTGGTGATGGTGGTTGGCTGATGAGACATTTGGGCTGGACATCATGTGGAAGGTTGATGAATCAAGCAAAAATAAACAAACACCGAGGGAGGGCTCAGAATGGTTCAGATCTTCCGGTCTTCGTTTCGAGTCAATGAAAGAATGGCTGGACTCACATGGACTCACCCATTTGGACAAAACTCTGGGTCGTTGAAGGTACACCTGCCACTGCCTGGCACCCCTTTCTCCAAGTTCTCCAAGTGGTATGACATCCATGTATGGATTCATGTTTGCCATCACAAAATGCGTCTCCATAATTCCATTCTATAGACCATCCCCCAACGAGAACGGAACAACACTCCTCATTTCATCTTTATATAGTCTTTGACCCCACCCCTCAACAAAAACAACCTTCAAACCCACGCACACCTCCTGCATCTGCGTCACTTGGGGGGAGTGGGGCTTCATCTACTTTCAGCCCACTGGCCTCAGGTCA